TCTCTAGAGTCTAAAAGGAGAGATTTTGAGTAGAAAACAGGTTTGGATCGAGTATTTCAGAGGAGGGGCAGTATGGCCTTGGCTTCTCCGCTCCGTGTGTTCCAGATTTAACCATTGCACTCGTATCCATATTTAATACAAGCAGAGTAAGTGTTCGCATCTCTCTGTTCTTTAAGAAGAGCACATCTGAAATTGCTGCAGGCAGAATACTGTTCCAGTTCTAGAGGAAAATGAATTTATGAGTTTACATCATAAATTCATATAATTTAAGGTTATAAATATGAGTGGTACTTCAAAAGTCTGTGGAAAACAGAATCAAAAGTTTTAATATTTTGGTACTAAAAAATGTAAAATATGGGCCTGGTGCAGTAGCCTAGCAGCTAAAGTTCTCACCTTGCACATCCCGGGATCCCATATGGGTGCCAGTTCTAATCCTGGTGGCCACGCTTCCCATCCAGCTCCCTGCTTGTGACCTGGGAAAGCAGTCAACGACAGCCCAAAGCCTTGGGACCCTGCACCCAAGTAGGAGACCTGGAAGAGGCTCCTGGTTCCTGGCTCCTGATTGACACAGCTCCAGCTATTGCAGCCGCTTGGTGAGTGAATCAGTGGATGAAGATCTTCTTCTCTGTTTCTCCTCCTCTTTGTATATCTGACTTTCCAGTAAAAGTACTAAATAAATATTTTTTAAAGTTGAAATATATGTATGCATAGTTTTTTCATAATGCACATTTCCATGATGGCTTTTTTTAAGGTATATTTATTTTTATTGGAAAGTCAGATTTACAGAGAGAAGAAACAGAAAAAAAAAATCTTCCATGCCCTGGTTTACTCCCAAAGTAGCTACAATGGCTGGAGCTCAGCTGATCCGAAGCCAGGAGCCAGGAGCTTCTTCCAGGTCTCCCATGCGGGTGCAGGGTCCCAAGGCTTTGAGGTGTCCTAGACTGCTTTCCCAAGGCACAAGCAGGGAGCTGGTTGGAAAATGGAGCAACTGGGATATGAACCAGTGCCCATATGGGATTCCGTTGCATGCGAGGCAAGGACTTTAGCCACTAGGCTACTGCGCAAGGGCCCTCCATGAGCTTTTGAAGATCATATACACGTATAAATAAACTTATTAGGGAGAACTAGCTGTCATCCACTGCTTCACTCCCCAAATAGCTACAACAGCTGGGACTGGGCCAGCCGGAAGCCGGGACAAGAACTCATGCAGGTCTCCGTGTTGGGCAGTGCTCCTGTGCAATCCTGGGCTAGTGTGACTGGGCTCTGCCGCTGCCACGCTACTCCCCACCTCCCTGGGTATAGACGGCCCGCGAACGGTCTCCCTCTAATCCAGTGCAAGTAAAGCAGAGCCACAGGCTAACGTCAGTCTGTTCCAGGCCTGTGCTTAGACCATGTTCCAAGCTCCCTGGGAGAAGGGAGAGAAGGCCGTCCTGTTTGGTGGCCACCAAGACACATGTGGCCAAGGGACACCTGAAATCTGCTTAATCTGCAGGGAAGCCTGCTATGGTTTCACGTGCTTCCTTTCAAGTTGTCATTTGAAACTTTTGTGTTAAATGTATGGTTTGTGACTGTTTACTTTGAGTATCTGTTTCAGGCTGTAGCATGTTACCAAGTCCTTAACGTGCAGGTTGGGGACAGCTCCCACCAGCCACACCCCAGTTTCCCCGAGCAGGGCTCACACAGCACCTGTCCGAATCCCAGGCCTCTGCACCCGGTGTGGGTGTAGCAGCAGTGATGTCAGGGACAGACAGGCTGGTCTGAGGGACCCGGCTCTTACCTTCTTGGCTGTTCTTTATCCGGTCACTCGTGGCCTTGCTTTGTTGCCGTCTTGGGCTGTGAGTTCCTTGAGGACTGGGGACAGTGTTAGTCGTTGTCGTGTGACCTGTAAGGCACGCAGCCACAGCAGTAAAATCAGCCAGCTCGGCTCCTCCGAAGGACTGGAAATGTGGCGATTTGTACCACAGAGAACTCTGGCTGCCTACCTGGCTCCTTTGTACACATCAGAGGACGCCCTTCCCAGGTTACGTTACCGCCATCTATTGGGAAATTATTGTAATGAAAAATCAAGGGGCACAATGACTGATGGTGGTGCCTTCCTCAGTTGTTCAGTGAACAGCCTGCTCAGCTGGACATGGTAGCGCTGGGACCACCCTAGCTTCCTGCTTCCCAGGGGGCTGAGAGAATGGGTATCACATAGACCCCAGCCTGCGAGCAGTGTGGCAGTGTGCCTTGGAAACTGAGCACTGCGCCAAGGGCTGGAGCCTCCAGAGGAGCAAGAGGAGGCCCAAGAGAGGTCCGTGGTCATGCGTGTGTCAGCCGGCAGGGCTGGGTCTTGAACCTGGGCAGTGTGACTCCCACGCCTCAGCTCTGTGATGCACGGCCCTGGTCCGTCCTGTGAGAGCGTGTCACCCGCCGTGCACTATGGGCTCTGTAGGGTCTGGCAGGGCCAGGCCCCGCTCGGTGTTCACAGCAGTGCCGTGCGGGTCCTCTCCCCCGACGGTGTCACTCCTCCCCACTCATCCCTTTACTCACTCATCCCTTTACTCACTTCCCCTTGTAAGGCATTCCTGTTCTCAGAAGCCCCAGGTCTTCCTCCAGGACCCCTTCTTGCTGCATCGCATCTCTAATTCACCTCTTTGTGAACTGTACTTGCTGTTCTGCCCTCTGTCACTTTCTCCCCAGTTATCCCACTGGTTAGTGGGCAGGGCCTCTGGTGAGGTCGGGATTGCCTGGTGCTGGTGGGCAGCAGTCTCCGGAGTGCTCCAGGAATTAGCTGTGGTGGAATTCCCTTCCCTCTGAGCCACAGGGAAGCACGCTGACATATTAATCTAGTTGCCTATGTAATCTAGTTGCCTGAACAAGAACGGAGCCTTCACTGCCAGGTCCGAACAGCCCCCCCCCCCACCCCGCTCCCCATCTCTGTCCCCTCACCCCCGTGCCAGACTGTACTTCCAGTGCCAGGAGCCGTGGGAAGTGGAATGAGGCCTCCTTGGTCACGTTGGCCCTCTGGAACTGTCCACCCTGATCAGAAAGGTAGGAGTGGCCCAGAGCACCTGCCTGAGGGGCACTTTGCCCATGACCTTGCTTCTTGCCAACATTTATGGGGTCATTTGCAGTGAGGGGCGAGCAGGCGCCAGAGGTTTGGAGTATGCCTTGTTTACATTCTGTCTGCTGGAGCAACTGGGATTGTTATTAGCACTTTGTGATGCAAATGGAGCTTTTAAGACTTGTTGTGCATCCTCCTGTGCCCACTGGGTGTGTCCTTGCCATGCTGTGCCTTGTCCTCCCCACCCCAAGATGTAGTCTCTAAACCAAAGAGGGCCCAACTCTTTAGAATCTGGTTCTTGTCAAGCACTCTGAGCAGGAAACAGGACCAGCCGGATTCTTTCCTTTTCTGGGTCACGCTGTGGACCCTTTATAAAGTCTGCAGAGACAAGACCCAGAGGTGCTGTGTGCCCGTGAGGTGGCAGTGCCACAATTCCAGCTGTGAGAGCCGAAGGATCCCTGCCCCTGTGGGATGTTCTGGGGGTCGTTTTTATAAAAGTCCCTGTGCCATGGCTGTTTTCCATCCACAGTCCAGGAGATGGAGGTGCCAAAAGGGGAATTGACTGCGTGTGGCCCTGTGTACAGATACTCCCCAGAACAGCCCAGACGTCAGCTGCCATGCTGTCCTGTCTGGGGTGGGAAGTTGTCAGATCACTGGCAGGCCAGAAGACAAGGGGAGGCCACCTGACCCTGGCATTGACTGTGTGGGACAAAGCCACCTATAGTGCCTGCCATTCACATTGAGGACAGACTTGACCGTCAGTTGTGACAAAACCCTCGTGTCAGTCAGCTTGCATGATAGCTGCACCGCCTACCCAAGCCAGGACTTGTTCATCTTGTGTGTGTAGGAAACAGGCTTTCCGTTGAAGCTTTAAACTTACGTGCCAGACAGAGTGGAGGAGCTAAGCTGTCTCCATTAAGCACGTCTGTAATCCGTTCTCCATGGTGATAGTGTGTTATACTTTCCGGCCAGGGGTACCTTGTGCATTTTAGATGAGAGGACAGCTCCTGGGCCTAGGGGATTGGGAAGCAGGTCCAGTAGCAGCAACATTCACTGTTACCAGGGACTCCACCCACACCTTGGGAAGTTTGTCCCTGTTCCTGGAGGGAGGTATCCTGCCTGCGCGCGTGTGTGTGTGTGTGTGTGTGTGTGTGTGTGTGTGTGTGTGTGTGTTTAGAATCTTTTGACACCAGTTTGATTCTTCTAAATAGGGCAGTTAATTTTGGCAAGCATCCTTTTGTGAGAGGGAAAACAGGTGAGAGTCAGTTTGGGTCTGTTTGTGTTGGAGTGTGTTTCTGCTAGTGTGCAGTGTGTGTGTGTGTGTTGTGACTGAGTGCCTGCAGCAAATGAGGGTTGTACAGCTGCCTCACCCAGGTGTGAGACTGGAATGCAGGACACAGTGAGGGCCGCCTGGTGACCGCTCAGTAGCCCTCATCATCGGGACATTGATGTGTAAGCAGTCCTGTTACTTAACTGTAAATTTTTACTTGAGTGAGCAAGCAAGTGTCCTTTCTCTGGCTTACTCCCCAGAGGCCCACAGCGGGTGGGACTGGGTCAGGTGGAAGCTGAGGACCCCGTGCAGCCTCTCCTGTGGATGGCAGAGACCCAGCTGCTTTGTGCCATCTCACTGCTTCTCAGGCTCCAGTGCTGGTAGAAGTTGGAATCCAGAAATGGAGCTGGGAATCGAACCCAGGCCCTCTGATGTGGGACATGGGTGTTTTGACTGCTAGGCTCACATCCATTCCTGACCGCATGTTTATTGTGATACCATCACTACTGTAAGAATTTGCAGGAAAAAGAGGACTGTGGGTTGATAAGATCAGGTAAAAAGAGAAGCTTAATTTAAATAATACTTATTGCATTAATTCTGTTTTAACATGTATTTTGTTCAAGACTTAAATTGCTAACAGCAAACACTTGGAATCTGGTAACAATGTGGTGTCCTCTGTTTCAGGAACTTTATATCGCTGTTGGGATATCTGGAGCCATCCAGCATTTAGCCGGGATGAAAGACAGCAAGGTACTGTGCACACAGTAGTGGCAAGGAAAGGACAAGTCTTCACATCTCAGACTCCGGGCTTCCTGCCTGCTGTGTTCCACATACCTAGTGTGTAGTTGAGCCATTAATGATGACATAGATCTGGAAGCTGAAAGAAATGCTAAGGTACCATTTGCTGCCCACAGCTGCCCCCTGGGTGGGAGAGAGTGCTGTGGCTGAGGGCAGGACACATCCTGCTGCCACTGCGTGACGATCCCCAACGTCAAACCCAGCCCTGATGGGGTGTGGGTAAATTGAGGCTGAGCAGCCCGTGTCTGAGCCTCTAAAAGAACTGTGAGGTTCTGATCCCTGGTTCTTTCTGCACCTGCGTCACCCTGGCTCCCCAGCAGCCCCCAGACCCCATGTTCACAGGGCCCTGATTTGTGGCTTGGTCCTGGAGTGTGACCACACATATTGGATTAGAGCATCAGGCTGTCTGAATGCCTCAGTCACTAGAGGAGGCCCTTGATTGCCTCTCACTGCCTAAGTCCTGTGTAGTACTGGCAGACTGAATGCCTCGGTCATTGTCCAAGGCACGGTGTCTGGAGGAGTCCTCACTGCCTGGACTGTATCGGAAGTCCTGTAAGTGCTGTGTCAATGTGTATTTCAGAACATGACACAGTAATTCATGCATAACAACGTGCAGCGCGAACTTCTCTTTGCTCAAGTCAGAGATGTCTGACGCTGCTGCAGGGATCCGCTCAGATGGAAGCACGATAGAAAAGATAATAAAACTTTTAGCGGGCCTAAGTTCTGACGTGCTGAAATGCAGGCATTGCCCTTTGTAGCCTTTTAAATGAATCAGCCCAAACCCAGTCAGATTTTACAGTTGGATGGCAGGGTTCTTTACTCAGCTCTGAACACAGGAATGCCAGTGGGGAAAATGTGATTTATGCATTAAAAAAAAAAAAAAAGACCTCCCAACACCAGCAGCGGACTGAAGAATGTACTTTGAACCAGGCCATTTCAGACACATGTGCAATTCTGCGTCTAAATAAAGGCTACTTCCTGGCAAGCAAATCTTGGTGAAGATCCCCGTCCCATTGCCCTAGGGTGGACTGTGTGAGTCCACCTGACACCACATTGGTCAGAGCGAGCAGGGCACAGCTGGAGGACAGAGCTGGGGACTTGCACAGATGCCGGCCGAGTCATTGCCTCTGCACAGGCGAGCACGTGTTTATTAAGGGCATTCCCTGCGTCAGATGCTGGGATGCTCAAAGGACAAAGACCCCACCATATGTAATGGACAAGGAGTTGCTGGTTCTACCAGTCATCACGTTCTAAATGGGAAGTTAGAATGATTTAATATCTGATTGCTGCTTTGCCTACGAGCTGCTCCTTTGATTGGTCATCATGGGTTGTTGAAACAATACAAGATTCGATTGTTAGAGGACGGCCCAGAGCCTTGGGACCCGTCACGCAGGGGAGACCTGGAAGAAGCTCCTGGCTCCTGACTTCAGATCAGCTCAGCTCTGGCTGTTGCAGCCATTTGGGGAGTGAACCAGCAGAGGGAAGATCTTCCTCTCTGTTTCTCCTTCTCTCTGTAAATATGCCTTTCCAATAAAAACAAATAAATCTTTAAAAAAAAAAACTGTTGGAGGAAGAACTGGAACTATTAAGAGAACTCTAGTGCAAAAAAAGTCTTTATCTTAATTATTTACAATTAATAATTCATAACTATTGTTTTTAAGATTGATTTATTTGAAAGGCATAGTTTCAGAGAGGGAGAAATAGAAAGAAAGAGGTTTTTCTGTGCTGGTTTACTCTCCAGGCTCTTGCAGCGGCTGGGGCTGGGCCAGGACTGGGCCAGGAAGCTGGGATTCATCTGGGTTTCCCACATGGGCTCAGGGGCCCAAGGAGGACTTGGATCATCCTTTGCTTTCCCAGATCCATTGTCATAAGTGGAACAGCCAGGACTTGAACCATTGCTCATCTGAGATGCTAACATTGCAGGTGGATGCTTAACTCGCTGTGCCTCAGTGACAACCCCAGGAATGTTCATTGTATTTATATATATAATTATTATTATTTTATGTATATATTATATATATTATATATGTAATGCCATAATGCCAACCCTGTCCTAAAGGTTTTTTAGTAACAGACTGACAGGATAGTTAGCTTTTATCATTTCAGAAAAGACCCAAGCTAATAATTTTTAAAATAACAAATGGAATGGAGTATATGGAGAACAGAAGTAGTTTGAACTACAAAGACTGTTAATTTTGGTATAGATTTTGTTGCTTTTCCACCTGAAGTCAAGCTGTTTTTTTATAAGTGAGAAAATAATATTAAAACAAAAATACTGATTGAGAACCAATACTGAGATGTGCTAGTGATAAGAGGGAAATGATTTTATTACTTTGCGACCCAAATATTTCTGATCCCTTTGTGATACTGCATGGATATATGAAGCTAATTTGATGTAGTAGACAGTTGAAGAATATTAACATGTTGTAAGGGGGGTTGGAACAAGACCCTAGACCTGCGTGGTAAATACACTGTAACTAATAAGCCAAACTCTTTATTTCACAGACAATTGTGGCTATTAACAAAGACCCAGAAGCCCCCATTTTCCAGGTGGCTGACTATGGAATAGTCGCAGACTTGTTTAAGGTAAGATGGCCTGGAGAGAAGTCGCTGCCACCTGGATTGTCATCCAGAACCTCTGTGAGGTGACCAGGGATGAGGAAGCAAGACCGGACCCGAACAGGCCGTTCCAGTACTGCTTGCACTGCATGCCACGCAGTCAGGTCATGCCAGCACCCTCATTTTCCTCTTGAAGAGATCAGCTTGTCTGTTGAATATCCACAAGGCCCTGACCACCTGTGTGCTAAGTTAGTACACAATGGGAAGTGACTCAAACACCTAGGGCTGGAGCTACAGTTGGCAGGTGCCAAGCTCTGTGGATCCGGGGTCTGCTGAGCAAGCTGGGGCGGTTCAGGAGAAGAGTAGGCACGCGGGTCCTGCTGCTGCAGCTCAGCCGGGCAGCACGACTTGCTGTACTGAAGGCTGAGGGCCTGCCTGTGTGACAGGCCGCCTCGCTGCCCACTCCCAAACCTTTCACTTGCGAATGGTCTTCCTGCTCTGTCTACTCCTGCCTGCGTATTTGCTTGTATAAGGAAAGTGGCTTTAGGGATATTAGCTGATTCAGTGAATTACAGGGATAACTGCCTGATAACACCTTTGGTCACGTTTAGAGTTTACTGTGTGTGTGTGTGTGTGTGTGTGTGTGTGTGTGTGTGTGTGTGTGTGTGTGTGTGTGTGTGTGTGTGTGTGTGTGTGTGTGTGTGTGTGTGTGTCCCAGCCTCCAGGCCTCCTGCAGCCTTCTGGGCTCCCTCGGCAGCAGTCGCTCCTGCAGAAGTCCGTGCTGCGAGCATGCCGTCCGACCTGGGAGAAGTGAGGTTGCTGGATCAGGGAAGCACTCCACCAAACCCAGAACCCCGCAGGTGCTGGCGACTCCTGGGAGACGGCAGCCTGAGAACAGAACCTGGGTCGTGCTCGGCATGAGAGGACCAGGCCCTTGTACTGTGAACTTCGCCACCCCCACGTGGGAGCTAAGTGAACCTGTGAGAGCATGTTGGTGCTCTGAGTAGGGTTCCCGCTCCCTGAGGGGCACAGTGGGATCCTCCAGTGCTTGGGCACAGAGGCCAGGAAGGGCCTTGGCTTAGGTGCAGGGAAGGGCATTGTTCCACCTTGCACTAGAACCCTCCCACACACCCAGAAGACCTAGAACCTGCCTGAAGAAGCTGAGCCCTGATGTCCCCGGGTCCTGAAATTTGAGGTTCTTGTAGGCCTGGGCGTGAGCGAACAAACAGCAGTGGCACTGTTTGCTATGCCCAGTGGAAAGTGAGCATGGCATAAAAAAAATTTTCTGTCTGTACAGTAACTATTTTTTTTTAAAGATTTATTTTTATTATTTTTTCATTGGAAAGGCGGATATACAGAGAGGAGAGACAGAGAGGAAGATCTTCCGTCCGATGATTCACTCCCCAAGTGAGCGCAACGGGCTGATACTATGCCGATCCGAAGCCAGGAGCCTCTTTTGGGTCTCCCACGCAGGTGCAGGGTCCCAAAGCTTTGGGCTGTCCTCGACTGCCTTCCCAGGCCACAGGCAGGGAGCTGGAAGGGAAGCGGGGCTGCTGGGATTAGAACCGGCGCCCATATGGGATCCCGGGCGTGCAAGGCGAGGACCTTTAACCACTTGCACCACCAAGCCAGGTCCTACAATAACTATTCAAGGAGCACAAATTTAGTTCTAGTATCAGGCGTGGTGGTGGGGAGGGTAAATGTTCTCTTTTTTTAGAAACACAAGTTAACATGTTCTGGACCACAGTCTTGTCTTACACCATCTGACATATTTATAAATGAATATCTCATGTAGTGACCTTTCTTCTTATTATTATGAAGGTGTATATATGTGTATGTATGTATTAGAGTTACACCGTGGTTGGATCACTCCTTGGATAGCCGCAGTAGTCAGGACCGGCTGGTCTGAAGCCTGGACACAGGAGCCTCTTTCAGGTCTCCCGTGGGGGTGATCGGGGCCTGAGTACTAGGGACATTTTCTGCTGTGTTCCCTGGCCATTAGCAAGGCGCTGAGTCAGAAGTGGAGTAGCAGGGACACACAGGTCTGCACCCATATGGGCTGGCATATTTATCTCTTATACCACAATGCCAGCCTAGCGGCCTTTTGTTTGTAATTAAATTTGTTGATGTTAATGTGTGTTCTTCTGTCTCCCCATGTCCTGTTTGTGGCAGTTCTCATGGGGGCTTAAGTGATGAAAGCATAACCTGTTAGATGGTTGCAAATGCTCCCTGTCCCTCCCTGACCAGCTGCCTCGGGGCGGGGGCTTTTCAGAGGTGTTGGTCAGTGGGACAGCAGCCCACCCTCGCCTCCTGCTTTGGGACAGCTCCCAGTCTGGGTGTGAAAGACCATGTGTGTGAACTCTGTGGGGCGCATCAGTGAAGAGAGTCCGAAGACACCAGGTGGAAGGGGACCCCAGAGGTCAGCCAGCCAGCTGATTTCCAGTCCAAGGGGCTTATGCTACCTGGAGATTGCCGCTGGACTTGTGTGGCCAGGATGGGACATGTATGTGCCATTTACCAACATTGGGTCTCCTGCCTCCCAGGCATGCTGACACCCAACAACAATTGTCCTGGATTGGGAAAGAAGTAGTGAAAGGTGATGGAAATGACACCAACACACACTGGCTTTTTTGCAGACTCCTGTTTATTGTCATACAAAGGACACATGCCCAGGTCCATCATTTGTAAGCTGGCTGTGATTGGAGCATGGGACAGCTGGTCATTGGCACTGCTAAACCAGGCTACTGCCTCTGCTGTGTCTCAGCCCTGTGCCACAGGCACCTGGGTCACCTGCTCCCTGGAAACAGATGCTAGGGGCCCCAGAGGGCACCTGATGGTAGAATGAGGGCAGAGGATAAACATTGCAAGGATTGTCTCCAAGGAGCTCTCATTGGGATCACTCTGTGTTTTTGAAGTTCAACACATATAAAAAATACAATAAATTTTTAAAAAGTTCAATGCATAAATGTAGCACATTAAAAAATATAATTGTGTAAATTACAGGTGGGATTTTGCATGATCCATTTTCAAATAAGATCTAAAGGAAAAATAAATGGGAGCTTTACATCAAAAGGCCCTTTTAGATTAAATTTTGTGTGAGAACTTTAAATTGCCAGCTACATCATGTGTAACAGGTAGCTTCCAGGCTAATAATTTCCTGGGCAATATTTTAGCTAAATCAGCCATGTCTGGAGTAAAAATGTATATGCAAAGCATTGTATTCTCTGATACAAAGATACTTCGGAAAGCTCATGGGGAGGAGAGAGAAAAGATCAGTATTTTGTGCAAAATGCTCTGAAGCTCAGGCACAGCCTTTCATGATACACATTTTCTGTGAACTTTTTAATGATTCCTTATATCTGTAGTTTCACTTCACCTTCTGACAATCATGAGATAAAAAGAACAAGTTTTTCTCCTTCATGTATCAAAAGTATGGTGTAGTAATGAGGAGCTTTGATTCAAACTGTGTCTTGACCGTGTACTAGTCAAGTTACCCTTGCTGAGTTATTTCATCTGGGCGCCAGCTTACTCGTACGTTACACACTTTAAAGGTTTTCAGGAAGGCTCAGGGAGGTTCTGACGGGCCTGGGGCAGTCTGATGACCACCAGCCTCGCCTGTCTGCATCTCCTTCTGTGCAGGCAGCAGGTGAGAACCCAGCCACGGTCAGTGCTGCAGGCAGAGTAACAGGGCGTGCGGCACCACCAGAAAACAATTCACCTGCCATACGTCGCACCCCTTTGAAAGGCAAAACTAGCGGGTTTTTGTCTGCTCATGGAGTTTTACATGCACTCTCATTCCGGAGCCTCTTCTGTCCCAGGAAGAAATGCCACGCCCATCAGCACTCACTCCACAGTCCACACCGCCCTCCAGCTGCTGGCCACAGCTGATCGCCTTTCTGTCTTGTAGATGGGCCAGTCCTGAATGTTTCCTGTAAATGGAATCATGCGGTGTGTGACTGCTTGTGGCTGGCGGGCCTTGACCTAGCATCAGGTTTTCCAAGTTCGTCCGTGGTGTAGCACATGTCAGTACTTTATCATGATACCCACGGCACAGCTGCTCATGCCGTGATGATCCATCCGTTCTTCATCCAAAGTCTTGGTGGCTCTTCTGGAAAGTGTTGCTATGAATATTCTGTGTAGGTTTCCTTGAGACAGTTTCCAGGCCTAGGAGCGGGGAGGACAGGGCAGGGTCACCTGACAGCACAGCCTTTTGAGGGGATGACTTCCCACTGAAGGCACATGCGGCTCCTGCCTGCACTGGCCGACTTGTCACTGCCTCCTTTGACCGTCAGCATCCTGGTGCTGTGAAGTGCTGTGTAATTGTGGTTTTGATTCGCATGCACTCACTGGCCATTTGTGTGCTTTCTCTGAGAAATGTTATTCAGATCTTTCGCCCATCTTCAAATTGCATTATCTTTTTATTACTGAGTTCTGAATGCTTTTTTATAAATGTGAACGCAGGTCCTTCACCAGATGTATTACTTCTGAATATTTGCTCCCATCCTGTGGGCTGCCTTTTTACTTTCTTTGTGGTATCCTTTAAGCAACAAAAGTTCGGAATTTTGATCAAATCCAGTTTACTCAGTTTTCCTTTTGTTGTTTACGCTGTGGGTGCCCTATTTGAAAAGTCTTTGCCTAACCCAGCATAGTGACTGTTGGCCTGCCAGTATCCATGTGAGTGCCTGGCCTCCAGTGCCTCTGGGCGGACACATCGGAGCGGGTGCTGGGGCATGAGATAATTCTGTGTTGAGCTTTTCAAACTGCTTTCTGTAGGAATTTGGTATAACATTTTTTTGAAGATTTATTTATTTTGATTGCAAAGTCAGATATACAGATAGGAGGAGAGACATAAAGGAAGGTCTTCTGTCCAGTGATTCATTCCCCAAGTGACCACAACAGCCGGTGCTGCGCCAATCTGAAGCCAGGAGCCAGGAGCTCTTCCAGGTCTCCCATGTGGGTGCAGAGTCCTAAGGTTTTGGGCCGTCCTCGACTGCTTTCCCAGGCCACAAGCAGGGATCTGGATGGGAAGCAGAGCCGTTGTGATTAGAACTGGTGACCATATAGGATCCCGGCACATTCATGGTGAGGACTTTAGCTGCTAGGCTACAGTGCCAGGCCCTGCTAGATCATCTTAACATTCGCACCAGTAGTGTTCATGGGTTCCAGTTTTCCCACGTCTTCAAGAATACTGGTTTAAATTTTTGTTTAACTTTCATTTATTTGAGAGACAGAGCACTCCACTAGCTAGAACGCACCCCTCAGGTGCCCACAACCACTGGTGCTGAGCACTGAGCAAGGAGCCTGGACTCCAGCCAGGTCCCCCATGTAGGGGACAGGAAGCTTGGGCCCTCACTGCTGCCTTCCAGGGTGCTCCTCCACAGGAAGCAGGAGTCAGGAGCCAGGGCTGGGGCTCGAACCAGGGACTCTGGCTGAGATGGGAGTGTCGTGGCTGCTCAGTTAATCCTCTGTCGCTTGGTATTTTCCACATTGTGATCACAGCCATCCTGGAAGTGGGGTGTGATTCCTCCCTGGGATCTTGCTGAGTGTCCATCCCTGATGACTGGCAATAATAACAAAGCACGTCACGTGGGAAGGGTGCTCATTGGCCATTTATTCATCATCTTAGGAGAAATGGCCGTCTGGCTCTTTGTCTTTAGATTTATTTGTTTGAGGGCCCAGCGGTGTGGCCTAGTGGCTAAAGTCCTCGCCTTGAACGCGCCAGGATCCCATATGGATGCCAGTTCTAATCCTGGCAGCCCCACTTCCCATCCAGCTCGCTGCTTGTGGCCTGGGAAGGCAGTCGAGGACGGCCCAAAGCTTTGGGAACCCTGCACCTGCACGGGAGACCCGGAAGAGGCTCCTGGCTTCAGATTGGCTCAGCTCCAGACGTTGCTCTCACTTGGGGAGTGAACAATTGGACGGAAGATCTTCCTCTCTGTCTCTCCTCCTCTCTGTATATCTGACTTTCCAATAAATAAATAAATCTTTAAAAAAAATAGATTTATTTGTTTGAAGATGTTACAGAGGGAGGCGTTCCACCCACAGATGGCCACTACAACTGGCCAAGCTGAAGCTGGGAGCCAAGGTCCCAGGCACTTGGGCCAGCCTCTGCTGCTTTCTCCAGGCCGTTAACAGGGAGCCAGAACAGAGTGGAACCTCTGGGACACGAGCCAGTGCCCACATACAGGATGCTGGCATTGCAGGCGGCAGCTTTGCTGCTATGCCACAATGCCGACCCCTTGCATCCATTTTTTTGCTTGTTTATCTTCGTGTTGACTTTGAGGACTTCATGTATTCTGAGTGCTTAACTCATGTCATATGTTTGATTTCCAAAACTATTCCCCCATTCACTTTGAAACACAAAGGTTTTTAATTTTGACAATGTCCAATGTATCTGTGTTTTTGTTTGTTTGTTTGTTTGCCATGCATTTTGTGGTGTCATGGCTAAGACTGCATTGCCAAATCCAAGGTCAGGAAGATTCACCCCAGTGTTTTCTTTTCAGAGCTTTGTAGTTTTAATTCACTCCCCTTAGTCGCTGATGCACCTTCAGTGGGTTTCTGTGTGTTTTGGGAGCCGAGGTTCTGGCTCCATGTACTGGCATATGGATAGCCACTGTTCTGACACCGTGGGTTAGAGAGGTTTGTCCAAATGGTGTGGACTTGGCCCCTGTCGTCTCCTGGGGCCCGCTGTCTCCCAGTACCACTGGGCACCATGGCCTTCCGGGTCCCCATCCTGCATGTTTTCGCCCGTCTGTCTCCACTGCTTGGCCAAGCAGCCTCGCCTTCTCCAGACGGACAGCTCTGAATTTAGAGCTTTGCTCTCCTCCCCCTCCTCATACTCTGATACAAGATGAGTGCACTCCAAGTATCAGCTTTGATATTTTCTTTTCTTTGAGAAGGAAAGAGTCAGAGACAGACAGAGCTCCCACTTACCAGGGATTGATGCTCTGCCTGCCTGCAATGGCTGGCATGGGGCTGGGCCAAAGGTGCGAGCTTGGAGTGCCACCCAGGTCTCCCATGTGGGGTCACTAGGCCGGGTACTGGGGTCGTTGCCACTGCCTCCCAGTGTCCACACTGGCAGCAAGTAAGCTGGGAGCCTGGGAGGGGTGCCTTGACGTGGGGCCAGAGCCTTAACTGCCAGGCTCAGTGCTGACATAGAGGATGTTTCTCGTGGGGTCGGTCAGTGGCCTCTGTCTGTTTTCTTGTGAGCAGGAATTGGGACGGGGTGTCACTGCCCCCATGGAGGTGACACATCTGTCACTCAGGGTTGCCCTGGGAAGTCCTGAAGATGAGTGAGGGATTCAGAGCAGGGTCCCTATGGAGGGCCCCTGTGAAGGTCCCACTGAGCAAGAAGCTATGGATGCAGAGGCTGGGAGAGAGCAGGACAGGATGCAGGGCTCCACACCCACTGGCGTGTCCCCCACACCCAGGCATCGTGGGGCATGCTTGGCAAGTCTGAGGCTGGTTCTAATAAGAAGTATATTGATAAGGGAGACAGCCAAGTTCCCTCACCCTTTCTGTAGATTGTGCGGTAGGAGACGTCCTGTAGTGGTTCCAAAAATGAGGGTCTTGCTTCCAGGGACAGACTGGCCCTGGCCTGCTTTCATGCCACACTCAGGTCCCTGGTGAGGCTTGAGTCGCGTGTCATCCATGTGCCTGGCATAAGCTCATGGTCTCTCTGCCGAGGCAGTGGGCAAGCGGTGCCAGCACTTAATGCCACCCCTGAGCAAATGCCTGCTGGCCCCTTGGTAAACACAGGCCTCTTAATAGGCTGCGGACAAAGTGACATTCAAGAGAAACAACATGTCGACAATTTCCTTGATGAATTTTGTACGAACACATTATTTCCACCTAAAGGAAATGTAGCTCCGTTAAATAATTGAGAGGCTCTATCCAGCAGGGGCAGATTCAGCCAGGGTCCCTGTGGTCCGGGCAGCTGACATCCTACTGCCAGGCCAGGTCATTGATATTTTACACAAGCAGCTGGGTGTGCTCTCGTACCCAGTGGCAGTCCCCTGCATGCCCCACACCTATTCTCCACTGCTGCCCCCCGCAGTGGTCACAGCAGAGCTCCACTCTGGACACTGCACCTGCTGCTCTGCACCGGCCTAGGCGAAGGGCCGGTCACTCATCTTTGTAAAGCAGCTGAGGGCTGGCCATCGCCGCTTGTCGGAGCTCACCCATGTCTGCTGGCCAGCACCGTGTTTTCTACAGAGCCACGGAGCCAGCCGGCCACCCACAGCTCACTCTTAGGTGCTGAATAACAGCTACGGGGCTGAGAGATGAAGGATGGGAGGGAGAGGAGGACAAGGAGAGGGCAGCGCTGGGGAGGCCCTTGCTACACAGACTGTGTTGTGGACCTGGACAGAAAGTCAGGAATGCAGTCTGGGGAGGAAGAAAGCTGGAGACATGGGAGTACGAGATGCTACTTCCAACCCAGGCAAGGAAAGTTAGAATCCGTGTGTGTGTGTGTGTGTGTGTAATTTTTTTCTGGTGTCTTCTGGAAGTTTGTGCTTATGCCAGGAGGGCTCCCTGTCAGTGGGCAGGCCCTGCCAGCCCCACGCCCAGGGTGGTCTCTCCCTCTGCGTTTGTGGTTTTCCTGGGGCTGGGAAGGGTCTGCACTTTTCTGTGGGCCCCTGCACTGCCACGGGGGCTGAGGCCACAGCACAGGCTGGCGTGTGATTCCTTCTCTCTAATTCACAGGTAGTTCCTGAGATGACTGAGCTGTTGAAGAAGAAATAAGCTACAATCGCAGAGAACGTTCGAATTAGCCCACATCACAGACACGCCGGGTACTGCCATCGGCCGGGGGAGAACTACAGGTCTTAACACCAAGGAAAAACTAACAGAAGCCAGAATACTTTTTCTTTTTATGGAACTATGACGTTTCTTTGTAATTATTCATGGTTACAAACAATTATTTTTTTCTGAAATTTTCTAATTATGTAATAAAACCCACAATAAAACCTGTCACAGCTTTGAAACTGTCAGACATGTGCCCAGCCTGTTAAGGAAGCAGAGGAAATTAGAGGCAGTCCTTCCGGCCGGGCTTGCCCACGGAGGGCTTGGACCGCTCGGCTCGTGGGAGCAGAGTCTGGGAGGCTGGCCAGCTGGGGGTGACTGGCAGCTCTCAGGCCTGAAAAGCCGTCGTTAACAAGACAGTCGCAGACCCGGCTTACAGCAGACCCACTGAGCGTACCTAACTTCAGTGGCATTTTCCATTTCCTTTGGAGACTTTGTCTGTTTATGGGACTTGATGTCTGTGCAGAAGGGAGGACCGGGAAGGAGGGACAGCTTTGAGAACAGCACAGCCGCTGAATGGGAGCAGATAGCTCGACGCGGTTGTCAGTGCTGAAGCTCTGCCTCCCAGAGCGGTCCAGCCTCTCACCCCTGCGGACAGCTGTCAGAGCAGCCAGGGCTTGCGAGTTAGCCGCAAGTGTGTCTTACCCCTGGCTCGCTTGCTCTGAAGTCACACCGCGTCCCCTGGGAACTGCCAGCTGGGCAGGTGTCTGGGATCATAGGAAAGGCCGGGAGTCGGAAAGCGAGTAGAATGAACTGCCCTGCTACAGCAGGCTGCACGAGTGGGAGGAGCTTACCTGGATCAGGCAGAGCCGGGAAGAGATGGGCAGTGAATGGTGGCCAGCTGGGGACTGTCCCTCTGCCAGTGAGTGAGTGGCCACTTTAAGTTGGCATTCGTTCCAGAGACAGAGATAAGCAGCCAGGGAGACAGCACGGCCCATGTCGTTGGCTCCCTGCTGCCCTCATGGGAGACAAAGTCACTTATTTGAGGAGTTGAGTGTCTGGCAGGAAGTATCTGCTGTGGCATCTCGGCTAGATTCCTAGACTCTCGGGACTCAGTGATCTGGCCCAGTGGGGAGACTGAGGCACAGAGTGGGGAAGGGGCAGTGACTGGCTCTGAGCCCCACACTGCTGTCACCCTCCGGCAGGCCCCCCCGTTTCTGGTTGCTGCCCTTAAGGCTCTCCCCAAGGACCCCAGCTGCAGAGACCCCACCTTCTCCCCAGCTGTGGGGGTGCTGCAGCCGTGAAGAAGCCTCATGGGGTGCTGGCTCCCCCTGACTCCCTGCCATACTGGCTGCCCCACCCAGCGTTTCATTGCCAGCCCAGCCCTGGCTCACTGTGTGTCAGGCACCGTCGGGGGCTCATCATCAGACGCCATTGTTGTTGTCCCTTGTTTTACAGATGCGAAAAGAAGCTGAGGCTGAGAGCCTACATGACTTTCCCAAAGGCAGAAAGTCTTAAACAAGAGCAGGACCGCAAGGCAGGCATTGGTGCAGCATGGCGGCGGCAGGTGCGACTCTCCCAGGGAGTCCCTGAGGACAAAAGCTCAGAGAGCAGGTGGGAGGGCGCGTTTAGACCCTGCATGCGGAGGAGTTGGGGTTCTGAGGGTAGCTCATCCAACCCAAAGTCCCTCTGAGAGCCCACGTGGTGTCTACCGTAACAAATCAGTCATGGGAGGTCGGGGGAAGGGCAGACCATGGAAGCTTTGGAATGTGCCAGAAGGTGCCATGAGATGTGCTGTTTTATCTCTGTTTTACCCCAAACCCAATTGCCTATTCCCAGTGGCTGCGGCCTGTGTCTGGCCCTCGTACCCCAGGCAGCAGCTGCAGGGGAGGCATGAGGGGAACAGCTTGTGGGGTTGGTGGCCTTGCTACTTCTTCAGCGAGAGCAGAATCTGAGATCCTTGGGGCTGTCTTGGCCAGCAGATGGCCTGAGGCCCAGGGAGTCCTCTGCTCCTAGCTGCTCAGGAACCATAGCTGTCTGACATGAACCACCCCTGACCCCACCAGGCCCACAGTGGCTTAGCAGTCTTGGGAAGACGCCCTGGGGTCTCCAAGTTCCTTGCTGGGCACTCTGCAGTCAACCAACCCATGGGAGAATCGAGTGCCACCTGTCACCTTGACCGGCTCTGGGATGGTAGCTGTTGAGGGCACAACCGCTGTCCCCAGGGCTTCTGCAACTCCCAGATGAGAGGAGACAGTGACTCAAGACAGACAGCAGGGTGGTGTAGGAGCAGGCTCCCAGTGTGGAGATCAGACATGGAAAGCACACTCAAGACTCCGCGGATGCTTGGGCCCCTGAGGGGTGGAATGCGGGGTCGAGGGTGGCTGGTGGCTGACGTCACAGAGGGACTGGCTGAGGGTCAGTGGACTGGCCCCAGGAGATCCACCCCATAGGGCTCCTTTGCTGATTCGCAGGCAGATTTCATCAACATCTGAAGTCTTTCTTGCAGACATCTGGGGTCAGGGTGGGCACCTTGGGTTTCGCCATTGGGCACTCACTGCCGGGGCCGCCCACCTAACACGTCAGTGTGTACGCATTCAAGTCTGAGCCCTGCTCCTGGTTCCAGCTTCCTGCTGGCGTGCACCCTGGGCAGAGAAGCCGACGGCTCAGGTGGTTGCGTCTCTGCCACCCCCGTGGGAGACCTGGATGGAGCGTGTGGCTCCTGGGCTCTTCTGAGTGTTGCAGGAGTGAGCCAGCAGATGGGAGCTCTCTGCCTTCTAAATAGATGAATTTAAGCAAACAAACACACAAACAAAACCTTAAAGAAACAGTGGTGGCTACTAACTACCCTTTGTCTTGCTGGGAGGTCAGTGGTCCAAAGCAAAGGAAGGGCTAGGCGACGGGTGGGTGGCTGTTAACCGAGGTGAGTGGCGGCCCCTGTGCCGGCACAGCTCCCGGCTGGCGAACACGTGGGCGATTCTGCTGGCTGCCTGAAAGTGCTTCTCTTGTTTGCAGGCGCAGTGAAGTGGGTCAGGGTGTTAGAAGCATCACAGCCTTCCCAGGCCCCCCTCCGGAAGCACGTGTGACCCACCCTGTCAGAGGGAGGGAGGCAGAAGATAGAATTTCTGTTGCAGGAATCCTCTGGCCTCCCGCCCTGGGTGGGTTTAGCTGAAAGCTCTCTGGCTGTGCAATGGGCCCCTGGAGACCAGTGGAGATGGGCCTGGCGCTGTGGGTGAGGCTGGCGGCTGCGAGGGGTGGGGCGGGGCACACCACTACTTGGGCCTGGGCTGGGGCTGGAAAATCCACCAAACGCCCCTCCCCCCAGCTGTAAATGCACTTCCTCTCTGGGAGAGAGGTGGGCTCAGTATGTACGTTTCACGTTTTGATTGACACAACAGGAGTGGTCTTTGGAAACCAGGATCCCAGGGAAGCACCCCTGATGGTGACAGAGCCGAGGACACATGGATGACCAGCGTGTGAGAGGCACTCACAGGTGGTGACCCAGCCCACGATTCTGGACCACCATGTGTCCTGTGCAGTCTTTGTGGGGATTCCACATGTGGTTGAGGTGCTGATAATCCTGAGCTCAGAAGACACTTCCATGGCTCCTCCCTGGTCGGTGGTGGGAAGAGCAGGAAATGAGAGGCAGTTTGCTTGGGACACTGAGCCTACGGGAGCATTGGTACACGACCTCGGGGCTCTCAGCAATTGTACTAGGTGTCGGGTACGTCCCAGAGCCCTCTTCTGTAGAGTGAACCCCCCCAAAGGGATGGTCACCACCCTGCTGGGTGGGTGTGGACATGGGCAGAGAGCTGAGTGAGCAAGGGGCAGGCAGGGGATGTCCAGGCTGACCCGGACACGGCGTGGAGAGCAGGGTGGCCGTTCTGCTTTGCGGGGCTTCTCTGGGCCTCTGTCCCTCCCGCCCCTGGCCTGTGCTGTCTTGGACCAGCAAGCACGTGGTTTAAGGAGCAAGCACTTGTGATGTGAGCTGGCCCTTCTGCAAGCCCTGGGCTGGTCAGGGGCAGGTGCGGCCTGGGTTTAGCTTCTTTTCCTCTCTGCAGATCACAAGGGCCAGGGCAGGCACTGCTGCTTCCCGGGGGCCCTGGGGCTAGTCACCAGGAAGTGTGGGTTTCTGCTTGCATTTGTTACTGCCTCGGTGCACGCTGGACATTTCCCTTCTGTTAGCTTTGGCTTCATCTGGAAACACTAGGTCGGCTTTGGGGACACCTGTTACTGGGCACTTCGCAGACCTGCATACAGGGAAGCAGACAGGCGTGAACGCAGCCCTCTGTGAGATGCGCTGTCAGTGCCCCACAGACAGGGGGCTGAAGTCTCCGGAGGGGCGGGTTTGCGCTGGCAGTGAAGGCGCCGGTTGAGGCGCCTAGATTCCATCGCGTCCCAGCTCCCAATTGCGCCTTCCTGCTCTTGCAGATTCTGGGAGGGAGCAGTGATATAGGCGGCCTGGATGGAGTTCCCATCTCCTGGCCTTGCTAACCCCACCCCAACTCCATCGCCCTACCATCATGGGCTCCCAGGGAGGGAACCAGCTGTGGAAGCACTCTGTCTTGCTCTCTGCCCAAGGATTCACAGCTGGAGGTTGGCTACCTTTGGTCCCAGCCAGAGGAGCACAGAGAACACACCCCACCCAGTGATGGGGCAGCCTAGCCAAGCCCAAAGGAAGATGATGCATTCTGCGTGTGGGTCCTGATAGACATTTAGGAGGCTGTGGGAATGCTGGATGCCCTGTCCATCTCAGATGGGGAGAGTACTGCCACCCACATCCATCACCAGCTTTCATGTCCTGATTGGTCTCTAGGGAGCCCAGTTCCGTTTGTCTGCTACAGGATGAACTGGCAGCCCAGTCCCCCTCTGTGCTGAGCCTAGAGATCCTAGCTACCAGAACTCACCTGCCCCGTCTCCCTGGCAGGTTTTGCTTTAGATCTCAGCAGCACCTATTCCAGCGTCGGCTCTGCATGATTAACTGTGCCCCACGAGCCAATGCCAAACTTTCTCGTTTGCAAAACAGCCAGAACTGTGCCAGACCAACACCAGGAGCCTTGAACTCCCTCTGTCTCCCATATAGGTAGCAGTGGTGCAAACACTTGGGGCCATTTAAACTGCTTTCCCAGGCATATTAGCAAGGAGCGGGATTGGAAGAGGAGCAGCTGAGACTGGAACTGGCTCCCATATGGGCTGCAGGCATTGCAGACAGCAGCTTAACTTGCTACTCCAACTTGCTTAACTTGCAGCAGGACCCAGAGCCCAGGGCTGGGCCTTAACCTGTGCCCTGTGGGGGACAGCAGAACCTGGCCAGGTGAGGGAGTCCTGTGCTGTCCGGTTTGACTCTTGTGACGCTGGGAGTCTGTGGGTGTCCTGGCCAGGTGGTGAAGGGAGGGCATCCTCAGACAGCTGCCACTTGAAGCTCTCAATCTTTCTTAGCAGAGATCTTTTGCCAGCAGGAAGGCTCAGCATGAGAGTGGGCTCTCCTGAGAGGGGGAGTCCCAGGCTCAGTCAAGAGCTGTGAGGGACAGAGAAGGGCGTTGCTGAGCTGAGGGGCGGCTGGGAAGTCCTGGCCTGCAGCCAGCCCCTTGAGCACACAGGGTTCCTATCTCCGACCCGGCCCAGCCTGTGAGGCCCCGATGGGAGGCATGACCCAGGGCTGCCTGGGGCCCTGCCACTCAGAGCACCTGCCTGGGTGGGCTTTGGGCCAGGCCTGTAGGGCTCTGGCCCTGCTGGCCTCACTGCCCTTGTGCCATGTCAGGGTGGTGCCCAGGCTGTGAGGGCTGAGCTGCAGAGCCTGGACTGGCTCAGGAGCAAAGTGGATGTCTGTGGGCTGCAGCCCTGACTCCCACCCAGCTCCAAAGGCATCCAGACCTGGATTTGTGTCAGGCCACTTTGCCAGAAGACTGCTAGTCAGCTATGTTCCCCGAAGCAGGTCCCACCTCCTGGTCGGACCTCAGTTTCTCCCCTGCAAACCAGGTGGGTGGGAGTGGGGGCTGGGGAAGGTGGTGTATTCAGAGCCCTTCTGCAGCAGGAAGTGGGCAGGGGAGAACTACCTGGAGCCATACCCCTCCCCCATCCCACCTGGCTGCTCTAAGCTGGGAGAGCCCCATATGGCTGCCCCGGGGCCCCCAGAGTGAACTCTGGAAGGGTAGATGAGTTGGGGGGCGCATTTCCCAGAGCTTGCAGACCTCCCAGTGAGCCCCTCTTCTTCCCCACCACCCCCTTGGCTCCTCTGTCTTCCTAGGCCATAACTCTGGGCTCTGACTCCCAGGGGAGCCGTGAAGGGTGAGGCTTTTACCTCCATCTCCTGCACTCTAGGCCCCAAGGACCCGCCCCGGGACGGGGTGTGGCTGAAACCTGGCCCTCACCCTCTGTCCCAGGGAAGGAAAACACAGCGAGAAATTCTGCCCGTGCTGCTGCTTGCTTGCCCCTGCCACCCTGTTTCCTTCCTGTATATCAGTGGTATCACGCTTAACAGCCCTACAGCCAACCATGCTGTGGGGGACATCACACATATCCTACTCCGTGTCCAGGGTGCGTCCAGCCTCCTCCACTACACCCCATCTCCCACCCAGAACCACAGCATTGCCACTGTGCAGCCCCCTGGGTACCCCGCAGTGAGGCGCTCCTGTCTGACAATTCAAGTGCAACCCGAGGGCTCTGCCCACAGCCCTGCCGCCAGCATTCCAGGCCTCCAGGGACAGGCCCCAGCCATGGCCCCTTCTCCCCCTCCCGTCTCCTCACCAGGCCCTGCGGGAATCCCTACACCCCTTTCTCCGCTGTGCTGCTATCAGAGGTTCAGGTCAGTAGTTTTCACAACAGACTGCAAGGCAAGGAAGTGGTACCCAGTACCTGCTCTCATGTTCAGAGTGAGTTTTGCAGTTGATGTCAGACCTGCCTGGTTTCCATTGTCCTTGGGAGCAGCACACACACACAGATGACCCTGGCATCTCAACCCACTGTGCCACAACACAAAAGTCCTCCTGCCAAGGGTTTCCTCTGCTGAGATGTCCCTGGGCAGCTGTGAGACTGTCACCTCTGTCCCCAGCCCCCATCTGCGCTTGGCCCAGTGTAACATGAAGGTGATGGTGACGCTGCTGGCCCAGGCTGCAGTTCCCCACTCCCTGTAACAAGTCAGCTTTCAAGAGACCAAAGACAAAAACCAGGAAGAAAAAAAAAAGGAGCTTTTCTCTCGGCTTTTTCCAGATGGAGACATTGAGGCAGAGGGCAGCACCTGCTCACCTAGCAGAGGCCCCCCAGTAGACAACAGCACTGGCAGCATCTGGGGTTGGCACAGACCGGCTGGAGTCGCTAGCAGCTGCGCCAGGAGCTTGGCCAAGAGGCCTGGGCACACACAGTTCAGCAGGCCGGGCCTGGCGGGGGAGGCTGCCATGGGCCCAACCAGAGGGTGAAGCTCTGGTTACTGACCCTGCTGGCTCCTGCCCTGCAGATCACAGATGCTGCCATAGAGGTCATTGTGTGTGGACACTTTGCTTCCAGAAGCCTCGACTTGACCCTGGCAGCTCCAGTGCAGGGCACAGCCCAGGCACAGCACTGGTCACAGTGAGTATATCGGGCTGCTGTCTCATGCCTGTCTTACTTGGGTCTGACTTCAGGCCTCCTCAGCCTTGTTCAGTCCCAGGTATTTCACCTGCAAATGGATTGCTGATGGCTACCTCCTGGGAAACCACCTTGGCCATTCTCCCAGGATCAAGTCTTCTGGTTATGCCTGGGAAGTGGCTCAGGTGGGGCCAGCTTGGGTACCAAGAGGCTCTGGGGACACCCCTGACCTTGCTTTTAGCTGTCTCTGTGAGCCGCCCTCTCGGGTCAGATAGGTCCTGTTCTTTCTCCCAGTTATGCCACCTTCCCATGGTGGGCTCTGGGCCAGGGTTCTAAGGTCTCGGGGGGAACTCGGGGCCCATCAGTTCTCTTTTGGGGGTGGGATGGGACGGGGAGCGCCGGGGGAGATAGAGGTGAGGGTGAGTCACCTGCAGAAAGAACAGGTGAGCACTGGTACTATGACAGTTGAGGGGACACGCTGGAGCCACGCTCAGTTATGGCAGGCCCAGTGGTTGACAGACTGGGGACAAGGTGGGCAGGATGTGTGCCTACCTGCAGGAGCACAGAGAGAGCTGACCAGGCATGTTCAGAGCTGAGCCATTGGCGGCTCTGGCCGGGAACTTGGGGCAGCGGGGTTAGATCCAGGAGAGGTACCTCCCCGGTGCCAGGGAGCTTGTCTGGGTTGTGTGTGAGGAAGGATGCATGGGGTGGGAGGGAAGCAGAGTCACACAGCCAGGCTGTTGAGGCGCAAGCTTCCTGTCCCAGGCCCCAGGGAAAACTGCCTGGGTAGGGGAGCAGCTGATCGTCCCAAGGGACAAGTGCTTCACGCACGCAGGCACACACAGGGGCTGTCAATGCAGCTGTTTGTTTTGTTTTGTTTTTTATTCAAGCCACAGTGGGAAATGGCCACCCTCTTCCCCCCCAGTTTCCCGGCCCCCCACCCCCACCCGACCTCCAATCCCTTCCCCGCACCCCTCCCCCCAGATGTCCTGTGACGGTGAAAATGAGACCTGTCTTGCCAGGACTGAGGGATGCCCGTGCTGAAATGAGAGCATGAAGAAGGAACGGAACAGGCTTGGGCTGGGGGGAGGGGTGGGCTCCGGTCGGGTCGCCTGCCCCCTCCCCCACCTCCAGGGCCCGGGCCTCCTGGGTAGGACGGCTTGGGGCTAGGGCCGGCAGCCCCCGCTCACAGTGCTGTTCCCAAGGGTCTAGGGTGGGCTGTCGGGAAGGAAGGCAACGGAAGAGGCTGAGCTGGCCCTGGCACTCCACCCGGCTGAAGCTAGGCCACAGGCTGGTTTTCTTTTGTAAAAATGGTTAAAAACGGAAACCAAAATGCAAAACCACTCACCCTGAGCACCACCCTTCTCCCCACCGGCAGGGCAAGAGGAGGTGCCAGCTCTGGGTTCTGAGGTGTGGGGAGGCGCGGGGCCCGCATGGCCTGGTGTGTCCCCCCTTCCCACCTCCCGGAGGCAGGCAGCACCCTGGGGGTGGCCAGGTGGGCTCCCCATTCCCGGCAGGGAGAGTGTCCGGATGGCTGTTCTCCCCCTGCTACCTGCCAGCGCCCCCTGGGGGCAGCTTCTAGGCCTCCGGCACCCGGTGCAGCTTCTGCTCCTGGGGTTCCAACAACCTGCACTTGTCCTGCAGTGCTGGTGCAGTGGGCAGGCAGCGGATGACCGGCTGGGTTGGGAGGGTTGGGAAGGTCCGTAAGACCTCCTGGTTCTTCTGGTTGAACAAACACACGTTGCGTCCCAACTCGGGGCTACTGGGAGCTGAGCCGGAGGGGCTGGGCAGGGCCCTGGGGGCTAGGTCCAAGGCCCCCTGGGACGGGCAGGGCTTTTCCGACAAGGAGGACAGCAGGTCCTGGACCACCCTCTGCTGCTGCTGGGGTGGCGGGGGTGGAGGCAGCGGCGGGGGACAGGGGCCAGGCTCCGAGGACTGCTCATCACGGGCTGTGCTGCTGCAGTCCGTGGAGGAGCCCAGCGTCTGGCTGCTGGCGCTCTGGGCCCTGGTGACAGAGCTGCAAGCAGAACGGGAGGCACTCTCTGAGGTGGCACTCGCGCAGGTGCCGCTGGTGCCTGGCTTCAGGGGCGCGTCCAGTGAGAAGAGGTCTGAGGAGACATTGGGCTGGTGGATATCGATGGCGGCCGTGGTGACCACGCACACGGCTGGCTCGGGGATGCCGCTGTCTGTAAGAGAGGTGACCTGCTCGTGACACCCCACCCTCTGCCTCGCTTCCAGAAGGTTGAGGGACAGAGACAGACAGACACGGGAGGGGACGCTGGGCCAGTGGGGCGGGATGGGAGGCTGGCTGCTCCCGCTCCAGGAGCCGATGGATTCTGCACTGGCAGCCAGCTTGTTCTAGAAAAGCTGGCAGGGCTGTGGTGACCATGATGAGCCAGGGGCAGGGCCCCAGCCAAGCTGCCATGGGCCTTGGCTGTGTTACTGAAACCACGAAGGCGCAGGGCTCTTTGCCACTGACTTGGAAGCGCTGTGTGCTGGGACGTGACCTTGGAGTGACCGTGTGAGGGGTGTCAGACGCAGCTCTAGATTGAGTTCCCAGCTCCTAGCTGTTGTGGCCTGGCCCTGGCTGCAGTGGGCATTCGGGGAATGAACCAGCAGATGGGAGATCTCTTGTCCGTCTGCCAAATAAACAAACAGGCCAGTGTGTGGGGCAGGGTGTGGCCAGAGCCAAGTTTTGTTCCAGAAGGTAGGTGGAGCTTCTCAGAAGCAAGGGGTACCCCAGAGCTCCTCAGGTGAGCTGGCCCAATGGGCCAAGTCACAGAGGGTATATAACAGGAAATTTTTCCTCTAGAGTTGCTGGAGTTGGAAATGGGTGTCTCTGCAGCCAACAGAAGAGGGCTCACATGTGGGAAGGGACAATTGCCATGCCCTGCGCCTGCCCTAACCCCAGCTCCCAGCCTTCCAGGGAGACTCACAGGGTATAGGGCTGTGAGGTGCAAACCCAAGACTCTGGCAAAGGAGCCAGCCCCAGGCTAGTTTCCCCAGTCTCAGCTTCCACACTGCAGACAGAAAACATCACATTGCACAGGGGGCCCTGATGTGGGTCACTGGTGCCTCTCTCCATCCTGCTGGCTTTCCCTGAGTGCGTCCCACACGTCCCACGTGGTGCTCTGCACATTTCCCTGTCCCTGGGGTCGGGGGGAGGTGTTCCATGACCATCTCTGCCAGTGGTCGAAGAACACCCTGCTACCCCACCCCACTCGAGCACTCCCAGCCTCTTCCTCCTGCACCTGCAGTAGTAGGTCTACCAGAAGCCCCGTGATGGGTACCAGGGCGAGGCAGGCGTGATCCTGGGTCTGGGGGTTGCTGGGGCCCCTGACTCACCGCTGCTGGGCCCGTTGTAGTACTGACTGATGTAGCTGTTCATGCCATCTTTCACCGCCGCTTCTGCAGGGGTGGGGACAGAGAAGGACAAAGGTAACAGTTCTCTAGGCAGCCCAGAAAGCAGGGACTGCTGGGAGGGTCATGTTCCCCTCCCATAAGCCTTCTCCTTATGAGAAATACCCACATAGGTGCCCCCCTCCAGTCTTAGCTGCCCCAGGGCGGGCTGCCCCAGTGACCAGAGGAGGCAGGTGCTGGTGCCATAGCGGTCTCCATACCTGACCCAGTCTGGCCCGAGGTCTCTCAGTGCTGTCTGCCCATCCCCGGTACGGACTTGCCCTTGTTAGGGTCACCCAAGCTCGCCAAGTGTCCCTGAGGCACCCATCATTGGCAGGAACCCTTGGCCAGCAGGGGCTCATGTGTTATCAACCCCATTTGCTCTGTTCCACACCCCACCAACCCCAGCTAGGTCCTCCCAAAGCCCTCAGATTCCAGGCAGCCCAGAAATGGAGCCAGGGCAGGGGCGGGACTGGGAACCACTGACCTCACTCTGCCCTGCTCCACCACCTGCACACTTGCTGTGCGCTCTGGCTCAGCCAAGCACTGGGGTTGTGATGGGGCCTGGAATGGGACCTGCCCTCCAGCCTCAGCCCCACCATCTCCTGAGCCTCCATAGTCCTGGGCTGTACAGTAGGGGGTAGTGACAGGTTGTTCCTCCAGTTCCTCCACCCATTGTTGAGGCAGGCACAAGGAGCTGAGAACTAGTACCAGAATGGGGTGTGGCACACAGACCCCCAGGGCTGCCCTATCCCAAGACCAAGCCCACACCATCTACAGGGGACCAGACCCGGGTGTGCATCCTGAGGCTGCCTCCCGGTGTAGCATCCATAAAGCAGACATAGCCTGCAGTGAGGAGCCGTGTGGCAAGGCGTGCGCACACAGGCCCAGCCCTTCAAAGCTTTTCTGGCCTCTTCTCATTTTTGAATGCCTGTGGTCAGGTGAGTGGAGCTAAAAGAGGAACCCCAGGCTGGCCCCAGGTCCTGCCCCTAGAACAGCCCACATGAGCAGTGGTTAGAACCAAGATACTGGAGGGGGCCCAGGGTGCACGAGAGAAGCCCAGATGCTGCGTTCATGTCATCATAGGGACCAAATGGGTTATGCCCCTTCTCTGGGCCTCACTTGGCTCTGTCCCATAAAGTGCTAAGGTTAAGCAGGAGGTGACAGAGAAGCTGGGGTAGCTAGGACACCCCTCTGTCCCCCAGAACAGGAGTCACCTGCCCAGGGGGCTCACTCTTCTCTGGCTTGCACACCTCAGGGGACAGGACTTCCCAAACCTGACCCCCAGGTATTGGTGTCCAACAGGACCACGGTATGCCTGGCCCCTTGGCCAAGTCTCCAGGCCAGGACTTGCGGCCTCACTGGGATGATGGCCACTCCTCAGTGCAGCAGGCGACCTCCGCTGAACGGGAAAGGGCTGTCCTGGGTCTACTAGCCCTGCCTTCTGTACCAATGCCAGGGACAAATGGCAGCCCATGTTCCCTGTCCATGTAGTGCCCAATCTCTGGCCTTCCAGCGTGCAGGAAGCCCCAGATGGTAGCAGAGAGAGGCGGGCACTGAACACTGCCTGCCCATCAGACCGCCAGCCTGGGGCTCAGACTTCACACCCACCAGGGCTGTGTGCCACGCTGCCATGCAGGGTGTCAGCAGCTCCCAGCTGGGTCCTTGTGCCCTGCATCCTTCCCCCATCCCCTTTCCACCCCAGGGTGCTGGGTTCATTCACACTGAGCCTGTGGCTGTTCTGCAGTGCTAGGGCCCAGCCAGGCCTGCACCACCTCCTGGGTTAACACCAGCCCCACAAGGACCTGCTTACTCTCTACCCGTCCCCTGGGGTGGGGGTTGGCCAGCTTTCAGCCTCAGTCCCGGATAAAAATAACTGGCCAGGTGACCTTCAGCCCAGACACACCCGTCCAGAGCTGCCAACTGGCCCGGACAGCTCCTCCTGAGCGACCTCCAGTGCCCTTTGACTCGACGTGCCCAGAATAAATTTGGTCCCCACCCCCTCGGCCCTCACCCCACACCTTCTACCTCTCCTGCTCTTGGGGCCTCCATCGCACTGAGCACTGGGTCCTCTGGCTTTCCCGACCAACTAGCCAACTCCTCCACACATGCCCCACCCTCACAGGTCCCCCTTCCGACACATGGGTGGCATGCCCCCCGGGTATGCCAGCTTGCCTTCCGTCCCTCTGCACACTGGACCTATGGGTGACAGGGGCCACTTTTCACTCAGTCTCCCTGGTACTTAGCACAGGGCTTGCACTGGCCAGGTCCTACCGGTACAGACCCAACAAGAGCTACTGAGGGAGCACCTTGTCCCAGCACAGCCTCAGTCCGTGCAGCACTCACTTCCCATGATGAACGTGGGTCTTGCTGCCCCACCATGCCTCTACCATGCAGCCTGCAGGATGCATTCCCAGAGATGACTGCATCCACCAAGCCCTGCCCAGACCCCAACCTGAAGTGTTCACCAGGGGCCTGACCTTGAGCAGAGAGCCGTGAGTCAGCCAGGCCGGACTGCCCAAGCTGTGATGTCCAGCCTCATGCCCTGTGAAGACCCATGTCCCAGAGCTCAGAAGGATGCCCTAACTCCTGGACTGAGGCTGCCGCTCCCAGCTTGTTGTCCCATGGCTCAGCATCGTGCGTGGGGGGAGGGCTCTGGAGCACAATGTGTACTGGGCATGGAAACTGGACACAGAAATGCATGGCCCTCTTCAGTGAAGCCCACTTTGGGGCCCCTGGAGCTCAGGGCCAGGGCCAGCCATGTGGATTCACAAGCCTGTTGTTCAGGAGGGTGACAGAACAGCACAGGACCAGGTTCGGGGCCCTGTGTGATGGTGTAGATCATTGGGCATGGAGACGGCCCCGTGCAGAGGGGCCACCTGGGCTCCTCTGGGTGATGCTGTGACCAAGTCCAGGCCTGGAGTCCCAGCTCATGGTGCCCATGCCAGGGGGCACCATGCTTCCATGAGCTGGCACAGGCCATCCCTTCTCCAAGGGACAAATTCTGGTGCAGCTCAACTCCTGGCCACCACCCTGGCTGGCCAGGTGCACTTCTGCCGATGCTGACGAGGGTCAGGGGGGATGTCAAGGTTTCCTGTAACGTACGACGAAACCCATGGCACCGCTCCAGAGTGGGGGTGGAGGGGGCTGTAATTCTCAAGTTATAGGACAAGCTTTAAGACTAATAAATTCAGGAGAGAAATATTAATGAATACACAGGAGCATCATGAACTTGGCAGGCAGGTCCCTCAGCCTGCGACTCTGCAGCCCAAGCTTTAAAAATGATTTGTGCCAGAGCAAGTCTAAACAGAAGCTGCTTGGCGACATCTGAGACCTGCTTGAGGACTCCTGAGATGGCGAGAGCCATGTCCTTCTCTCAGGCTGGCGCTGCCCGGTCCAGTGAGCCACGGCCATGCAGGGAAGGGTAGGGTTGGCCCCCCAACCTGGACTGCCTGGACAACTCGCTGGCGTCTGCATGCTCACTGCAGGGATGCTGGTGGTGTCCTCCCACACACACCACAGGCCTCCGAGCTGTGTTAGCAGCAAAGGCTGCTCTCCCTATGTCCCCGGAGAGGAGGCCTCGGGCTCATCCGGCCATAATTTCTGTTGTCACTGATGCCCCCAGGATGCAGCTCTCAGTCCCTGAGCGGTCAGCCGGGGGAATGCCCTGAGTCCCCGCAGCCCCGGAAGCTGTGACAGGTGCCTCTCACTGGACCTCATGTTCTGCCCTCTGCTCCACAGCACTGGCTGTGCTACGGTGGGGGGGTGGGGGGGAGTGGTGGTGGTGATGGTCGAGCATGCTAGGGGGCTGGCTAAAAGAGGAACGTGTGGGGCTGGGGGAGGGAGCCACATTGGTTGGGAGGGGGAATAGCAGAGGTGTGCGTTGAGTCCAGGCCAGGGGTGGAGGGGAAGAGGCCTCTGACTGGCCAGGAGGCATATTTGAAATGTCCAGGGGCATAGGCACCTGCCTGTAGGTGGGGGGACAGGGAGGGTACTGAGCCTGCCTAATGCAGACCTCCATCCCCCAGCAGTTTTCCAGGAGGCTGGGCAGGGACAGGACACGCCACAGTTAAGTTTACCCTGGGTGGTCTTTGGCCCTGCTCCCCTTTCTTTCTCCTGGCCCCGTCCCTTCTTCCTCCACGAGGTTGCCCACAGTGGGGAAGGAGTACATCCAGAGAGGAGCAGGATGGCCAGACCCAACCCTTACCACCCTGCTAGATGGAGCAAGCTCACTCGAAAGGCTTGGAGAGCATGCAGGCCCACAGCTTGGTTCCTGCCAGGCCCTTGGTGGCACAAGGCCTCCTGTCACTCAGTCATTGGCTGGACAGCAGCTGCATTCTTACCTCTGGAGCTGAGGACCTGAGAGGGACAGACGTGGCAGAGAGCCTTTGCAGAGCGGCTCTGTCTGGGAAACGCTAAGACTGCAGGAAGGGTCCCTGGGGGCAAGGTTTCGGAGACTCTGGGACACATGCACACGAGGCCAGCGATGTCCCAGAGTCTGGCCTTGTACTGGGACAGTTAGATACGTGCACTTTCCACCCAGTGCCACCAACCCTAGGGCAGCTCATGAGGTCAGGTGCAGGGAAAGGTGCTCCGAGCCTGGTACGTGTGTGTGTGTGTCGGGGGGCTGACATGACAGCACAAGCGAAGGATGGGCCCATCTAGGAGACTCCCTTTGCCATTGCTTATGGCTTTGAGGATAAAGAGGAGCTGGGAAGTCAGGCTGGGAGCCAGGGAAAGCCCATGGAGGGGCTTGGGGCACACCTCCCTTTAGGACATTTCTGGAAACCCCCTGGCATAGGAGGACGTGCCATCAGGGGTCTGCTGGGCCACCGGGGAGGGACTGAACACTGGCCTTCCCGTTTCACATGTACTCCGCTGGAGGGCTCAGGAGGGCCTAGAACCCAGAGTGGGGTCTTGCCTGGAGACAAGGTACAATTACCTAATACAAGGCTGCGTTGGAGGTAGTACAGGCCTTGGTTCATCTTCTCCAGGTGAAGGAGAAGCCCAAAATCAGGTAAGCCAAGGGAAGCCCTGGCAGGCTCACAAGGAACCGCCACCTTCAGAACCTTCTGTGAGCTCGCGTGGCTAAGGCTGTTCAGTCTGCGCACCTGCCAAAGGCAGCCCAGGAGACCCATGCTTCACCCTGGGGTGGCGGCCAGGGGACGCCTGGAGCCAGTCAAGGCCTTAAGTTACAAACAGGAGAGAGTCCAGGAAAGGTGACATTGACCATTTGGGAACTGTCAAGTGGAGGGAGGGGTGCTGCCTGGGGCAGAGGTGAGAGGTACCCCAAGGTCCAGAGATGGCAAAGGCAACAACGGAGGTGGGGCAGAGATTGTCCCAGGTCAGGGTGAGAGGAAGGAAGGGGTGATGGGCTCCTGCGTCCTGTGTGGAGGCAGAGATTAGTCACACTCCAGCTGGCTGTGAGAGAGGGACAGATAGGGCCAAGTGCCAGGGGAGGGAGCGACTGCCCATGAGCTCAGGCCAAGCGGCTACCCCAAAGCTCGGGCGCATCCCAAGACAGAGCACAGACAGCCCCTAAACAACCACTCTGGGTGGTGGGTGTTCCTCGGAGTGGAGTGGAGACATTGGAGGGCCTGTCCCCCGGAACTGTGAGAGTCAGGCAGAAGACACACATCTTGGGAGGACGCTGCACCTAAGGGTGCCCACCGTGCAGCCCTGGAAGTTAAGCCACCACTGTGGTAACAGCCTCCCATAGTGGCAGAGTGAGTTGGAGCTTTCCCTTCCCTGCTTCCCATCCAGCTCCCTGCTAACACCCCGCAGAGAACGGCTCAAGTGCTTGAGCCCTGCCACCCACGAGGCAGACTGGGATGGAGTTCTGGCTCCTGGTTTCATCCTGGACCATCCCTGGCCATTGTGGCCATTTGGGAAGGGAACCAGTGGATGGAAGATCTTTCTCTCTCTGTCACTCTGACAAAGATTCGATCTTTCAGATCTAATGATGCATAAAGCTTAAAAAAAAAAAAGTTTGTTATGATACTGTAGCCAACTAGTGGTGGCAGGTGCTGGGGTGGGGGCAGGGTGTGTGTTTCTGGTGGGGACACAGCTGGGCAAGTTTGAGGAAGACACTTACAGGCAGAGGGAGCGGCAGTGCCTGGAGCTTAGGCCTCCTGCAGTCCAACCTGCCTTAGCACACACAGCTGGCAAAACTGAGGCGGGGTTTGGGAAGCTGCCCAGGGAGGTAATTAAGCACCTATCGTTAGCGACAGGGGAGCTGACCTTCGGCAGGGAGTTACAGATGGGATGCCTGGCCTCAGCAGGTCCTCCTGGCCCTCAAATGCTGCAGTCCTAAGATCTGACCAACAGTGGCCACCTGCTCCCCCAGGACGTCTACCGGACCCCCTGTGAACTTCAGAAGGGAACTCTGGGGCCTCAGGCAACCCAGCTGGGGTGTGGCAGTGCCTGGAGTTCAGGCTTTCTGCTGTCCAACCTGCCTCAGAACACAAAACTGGCAAAACCGATATTCCTGTAGGTCACATACCCTGTCCCAGGCCATGCACGTGGGCAGGATTCAAGTGCAGGAACCTTCCCGTGCCATGTACTTGCCCTGTCCTGGCCTGCATTTCTAAGTCCATCAATATCCTTGCCCATCCAGTCACTGGCTGGCTGGCTAGCTGCAAGGGTTAGGTTGTGGGCTGTTCTGCACCGCCCCCACCCCCAAGGCCTGGCCTTGCATATGCCTGGGCCCTGGGGAGGTGAGAAGTGGCCAGGAGGGGCAAAGGTCTCAGGTGCTAAGCCTACCCCTCCTACCCCTCCTCCCCGATCAGCAGTGTGACTTTGGATAGCTTCTTCCCGGTCTGTTTCCTTCACTAGCAGCTGTTACAGACTGTAAGAACACACGCCTGAGGCGATAGTACCCAGAGAGAAGAGGGGTCCAAGTGACGAATTCGCTTCCGGGTTTGCACCAGGGTGCTTTTGGTCCCTGAAGGCGCTAACCTCCGAATGTCCCCCATCAGGCACGGAGCAGAGGGCGCAGGTGCACAGCTGCGCAGTGGACGTGGCAGGAGCACCGAAACCCACTCCCGGAGGCTCACCTGGCGAGGGCCGCAACTCCTCCACGCCGCTCTCGGCCACTGTTTCCTCGTCCCACACGCCGGCCTCCACCACCTTGTAGCGGCTGTGTGGCTGGCGCAGCACGTGCGGGGCCTGTAGCGCCGCCTCCCGCTCCGCGGCCAAATCCAGGTCTTGCTGCGCCAGGTGTGCGCGCAGCTGCCGGATCTCAAACTGCAAAGGGAGAAGGGCCAGGCAGTCGGCTGGGTGAGGAGGTGGGGGACGGGAACCCTGGCACGCTTTGTCCCCGAAGGGGAGGAGTGAGTTGGTAAAGTGATTGCCTCTTGCGAGTGTCCCTTGGAAGAGCCACCCTGGTCTAGGGCCCCCTCGCCTGCTTTGTCACTCGCAGCTCTCTGGCCGCGTGGCCTTGGACCTGTCTCTCCCTTCCCAACCTTTTCCCATAAGTTTTCACCTCTTTGAAGGACTTAGGCTGCCCCACCAGGGGGCTTTGTGAAAACCGCACGTTTTTATTTTGGTTTAATTTTGGCCTTCCGTGTCTGTGGCTTGTGGGCTTGTGGTTGTTAGCATTCGGGGTAACTGGACTGTGACATTAAAAGATGGGGTAGGGCACTGGGGCAGGGGGAACTCTGTGTCCTCTGCTCCCGGGGTAGCAGCCGGGAGCATGCACAGCCTCCTGACTGCCCCCTCCCTCCCACCTCCCCTGCCCTGCCCTGCCCTTCCCAACTGAAAGTTCCCTGCTGGCTGGTGATGGGCACACGGCCTGTCCTGACCTTCCCTGGAATGTCAGGCCCACGCCTCCACTGCCAACTCAAGCTGCTGGAAACAGGATCGAAACCTGCCCCTCAGATGTCCTCAGTCCATTTCAGCTGCACCTTCTTCGAGTGCACACGGCCTGTCACTCTCCCTCACCCCAACACACCTGCGCCCCAGTCCAGCTCTACCTCCAAGTGCTGACCCTGGCTGCCTCCTCCCCGGTGTCCACTGTCCCCACGGCCGGCACTCACCTGCACCTGGTAGCCACACTTCTTATCCCCCACCAGCACCGTCCCTCCTCACTCCCTGCTGGAGTCATGAGGTTCCCACAAGATCACTGCAGACCGCCACATCCCTGTCCCTCAAACGCCATGGCGTCCCACCTCTCGAGAAACTCCCGAAGCCTTGCGGGTGCACTGTCTGCCAGTGCCCACCTGGCCAACGGTCTCACCCTCTATCCCATTGCCAGCCCCTCAACACAAGCTCCCTGTCCCTTGATACAGAGACCATGCGCTCTCAGGGTCATTTCCCCAGCTGCTTCTTTATCCTACAACCCCTGACCTTTCATGGAAAGCAGCTACGCCAGGCCCTGGGTCACAGCAGCCTGCCTGAGTGCTCTGCATCATGCTTACCACCTTCTGGCATCTTGTGTGTGTCTATTTTAATGTTCTGTTCATTTTTCTCTTTAGGAAAGTCGAAGATGCATACTAATAAAAGCGGTCACGAACACCAGCAAAGCTGGCATCCAGCAGCCACTCCGGGTGAGTGTCTGTGGGCTTTCTCTCTGGCATTGTTCAGGTTTTCCAGAGAGGTCTTTAGTTTCTTGCCTAAGGATAAAATCTCTGGTTGACTCTGTATGTGCAGGAAAGCATGGGGGTGCGGGTGGAGGGAACTGGGGCTGGTGAGTGCTCCTCTGCCGAACCTACACTTGAATATTTTGTGTGTACACTTTTGAAAAAAAAAATCTATTTCCACTTGATTTATACAGGTAGAATGAGAGAGGGGGAACAAAGGGACAGAGATTGCCCATCTGCTGATTCAGTCCTTAAGTGTCCTGAACAGGCGCTGGTGCAGTGGTATAGCAGGCTAATCCCACATGGGTGCCTGTTGAGTCCCAGCTGCTCCACTTCCCATCCAGCTCCCTGCTTGTGGCCTGAGAAAGCAGTCGAGAATGGCCCAAAGCCTTGGGACCCTGCATCCACATGGGAGACCTGGAGGAAGCTCCTAGCTCCTGGCTTCAGCCTGGCTTAGCTCTGATCATTTGGGGAGTGAACCAATGGATGGCAGATCTCTCTCTCTACTATGACTATCAAGTAAAATAAATGAATCCTTAAAAAATAACATATATATATTATATATACAGATATATATCTATATATATATCTCCTGTAACACCCATGAATCCTTAAAAAATTATATATATATATATATACACACACACACACACACACGATATATATATCTCCTGTAACACCCATGGCTGGGCCAGGCCACCTCCAGGAGCCCAGAACTCCATCCAGGTCTTCCACATGGCTGATAGGGATCCAAGTATTTGAGCGTTCCAGGGTGTAACCAGTAGGAATCTGGATCAGAAGCGGAGCACCACAGCATCAGATGTGGGTACCCCAAGCAGTGTCGGTATCCCAACTACTGCAAAAAAAAAAAAAAAAAAAGCCCGCCCCTGTGTGCAGACTTAGCAGAAGCCCTGCCTCAAGGCCAGCTTCACCCCATCTCCTTCTTCCTGGACTCCAGGGCTTCTCAAAGGAGAATTAGTCATGTCTCCCCCGACCCCGCAGCAGGTGCCCTAGTAATTAACTCTGCCATCTGCAGTCTGCTAGATCAGCTGTCTCCGGTCTGCTCTCTACCCTCTCCTAGCCACCTGTCTCTGTACTTTATGATTCTTTTTTCTCTTCCTATCATTTGAGTGGCATTTGGGGGAGGAGAGCAGGGTGTGGTTCCATCACCATTTCCCTTAGGGACTCCCAGCATCCCCTCTCTTCCACCCCCAGGGAGCCGTGTGCTGGTGGGGGAATGGGCTTGAAGAGGAGTGTGTGTGATGTCGGCGACTGTAGACTGCCATCAGGATGTCACAGGGAGCTGGGAGGAAGTGTGTACCACAGCTTGTACAAGCAGCTCTCCTGCTCTCCGCTCCCCACCAGAGCTTTCACACCCCTGGGTCTGCTTTGGTGCCTGGTGCCCAGGAGGCACCTAAGAAACAGTCTTGAATTAAAAATGAGTAAGCAAAGGCATGAAATGAGTTAGTTGCATACAATTCTGTGGTTCAGATCAAGCCCCAAACTCCAGCTACAAACTGAGCTCTGACCTTAGCCCAAGGCTGAGACCAAGACTGAACTTCAGTGCTAGCTGCACATGAAGTTCTGACCCTGGCCACACACTGGCCGCTGACCCTGGTCGTGGGCTAAGCCCTAGTCCTGGCCATGCCCTAAGCCCTGATCCTGGCCACACTCAGGGCCCTGATCCCGGCCACACTGAACCCTGAACCCAGCTACACTATGAGCCCTGATCCCAGACACACTTGGGGCTCTGATCCCCTAACCCTAGTCCCAGACTCAGCCCTAATTTCTGATCTCAGGCTCTGGGACCTCAAAACCAAGTAGTTACATGGGCTGCGGGCTTCAGAGGGCCAGAAAGCAGGGTTGGTTCATGACTGGGTGCTTTCTGTGTAGGGGGACAGCATGCAAGCTACCCCTCTGGCAGCAGATCTCAGAGGACCTGCAAGGCCACCTCCCCAGCCCTGCTGGCCTGGGAGCCCCACCTGGCCCTGGGTGATCTGAACTTCCCATGGGCACACCCTGTCCACTTTCTCCAAGCCCATGCATCTGGCCCCACAGGCCTGGCTAATGGCTTCCTGGCCACTCTAAAAGGATGCATTATTGATGGCTTGTAATTGATACGGAGCTGCCCAAGAGCGTCCCACTGGAATTCAGGCCAGACAGTCAGAGGCCAGGACTAGCTCTGCCTGGCCCCAACACGCAGGCCCGCACACAGAAACACGTCCTAAGCTGAAGAGGCAAACTCCAAACGTGCGGTAGTTCTGGTCACCTGCCAAGAGGCCAGGTCAAACAAGGGTCCACATTGAAACTGTCCCTTGGTTTAGAATGAGATTGGCTCCCCTAGCTAAGAGGTGAGTGCAAGTGAAGGCACAAGGACTAGAATCCCGTGGGGAGCCCTGGGGTGGGGCTGGCAGCAGATGATGTAGAACAGAGAGCTGGCAGTTCAGAGGGGCTGGGGAGGTGGCAGGGACCCCATCGGCTGAGCCTCACAGCACATCAAGACATGTGAAGGACAGAGTCTGCCTGCATTTGAAGAGCCACAGAAGCCACTGAAAATTGGCGTGGTGGAGGCAGCGCACAGTGACAGGCTGTGAAGGGAGTGTGGGGCTGGCAGAGTAGATGGTGGACCACACGGGGCCAGGGGGACCATGGCGACGGTCCAGCCTGGAGGTAATCACAGAGGTGGAAAGAGGCACATGGGCCAGATTGGAATGCTTTATGTCCAGAGGGTGGAAGTGGCTGGGTGCCCTCAGCCCTTCACCCTGAGGAGCCAGTGACTCCTCCCAGGAGCACCGCAGAGGGGCCTGGTAGCTCTGAACTCTGACCACAGCTGTGATGGCCCTAGGAGACTCTGGTGTGACTTTGAGAGAGTGGTTCTGGATGCATCTGGATACATTCTAACATGTGTGCTCCTCAAAGCCAACTTCCAGGTCATCAAGGGATCCCAGCACATCAGGACCCTCCCAGATGGGGAATGGCCTTCATGCTGGGCAGAAGATGGAAAGGCCAGAAGCTACAGTGCACCCATGGCAAAGCAGGGTCCCATAACCCTACTGGCAGCCCTCAGGACTACGGGGACCTATAGCCCTCTTGAGCAGGATGGGAGGGACTCATTGAGTTCAGGGGCCAGGACAAGTCAGGGGTTACACCCTCCAGGGCAGGCAGGAGCCCAAACCCAGACCCTGAGTAGGTCCACGTGTGCCTTGGAGCCTCAGCCTCGCTGGGCGGCCAATAAGGTAAGTGGAGGAGCTGGGTGCTGAGTCTGTGGCGAGCTCTGTCTGCACTGGCCCCGGAGCAGCACCTGGGTGGGAACGAAATTCAAGTGCTCTCAGTGCTGTCTCTGGCTTCCTGCTGGGAATGTCCCATTCACGGAAGACCCAACTCTTCAGTGTCAGATAACGCAAGCCAGCATCTTCGTGTGTCATCAACGGTCTGTTGCCTATACGAAGAATGACTAGTCATGCCAACAGGCAGGAAAAGTGGTTGACGACCAATACGTAAAGCAGCACACAGAAGCTTGCCTGTAGAAACATTTGAGTTAACAGATAAGGAATTCAAAGCTTCACCCCTGGCCCACCTCCTTGCTAGTGAACCTGGGAAGGTAGCAGATGAAGGCCCAGGAGCTCAGGCCTCTCCCCCTGCCCCCACGGGAGACCTGGATGGAATTCTGGGCTCCTGGCTTCGGCCTGGACCCAGCTGCTGTGGCCATGCGGGAAGGGAGCCAGCACATGGGAGATCTGTCTCTGTCACTCTGCTATCCAACTAACTTTTTTTAAAAAATAAATATGAGTAATATGTTAAAGGAAATAGTGGAAAAGATGGACAAAATGAATGCACTGTTTCTTCAGAGAACTAGACTCAAAGTCGGACACAAATTTTGAAAACTTAATACATAATATATATTACATAATGTTATTATATGTATTAAGTATATGTGTAGCTGGGATTCATAGTATACTGGATATAGTAGAAGACAGATTTGTTAAACTTGAAGGTAGGGTTCTAGAGAATTATCAGAGCTTACAGCAGGGAGACAGAGGTGGGAGGTGAGAGAAAATAGGAGAATGGGACAGGCTGTAACAGAGGTGTGAGTGTTGCTCAAATGATGTAACATACTCACATTTAGAACCCCAGGAGGAGAGCAATGAGAGAATGGGACAGGGGCAGTTGAACAGAGAAGCCACAGACACGAATGTTCCAAACCTAAGAAACCTCAAGCCACGAGTCTCAGAAACTCAGACACCCTTAAGACACAACAAATGCCAAAATGTCCCCACCCAGACAGTTGCTCGGAATGAGTGGGAACGGCCAGCATAGCCCTTGGGAAACAAGGTGCACAGCGGTGGCCTGGGTGACAAAGTGGAGCGAGTACACCAGCACACAGGCCTGAGACCATGCCCAGAGTTAAGAAGAATTAAGGCACACCCAGAGCCTTACCTAAATGCGCATCACAAAGCATTTCCAATTAGAGAATTCACCAGATCAGGCAGGGTCCACAGGGAAGTCCTCTGCATGCATTACTGGAGGGGGCCAGGCTTTTAACATTTGCCCAGGTGGGACCAGACCTGCCCGCGCAGCCGGGCAGCCAGGCAGCCACACCCAGCGCTCCTTAATGGGCTGGCTAAGGAGTCCAGTCAACACAGGCCCTGGGTCTGATCAATGCACACTTGGGCCAAAAGCTCGATGGGGTCTAATGCAACAGCAATAACCCTATTGCATCCTATTAGTGCGGTCGGCACCGACTGCCCTGCTTTCCGACCCATCTGCCCCTGGCACAGCACCCGATGTTTATTTCCATTAGCATCACCGTTGTTGGTCGCAGTAAAAATCGGAGGCAGTTGCAAACACATGATTTAGGTGCCCAGTGACGCCGGGAAGGACCTTGGCTCCTCTCCATCCACTGTGAAGATGATGGGGGTGGGGTGGGTGGGTGGCCATAAATCTAAATCATGGCAAAAGAATAACATAACTTATTCCTCTGATGGCTAATTTTATCAGCTAAATAGGCTTGTCACTGAAGCTATCAGCTATTTTACAAATCACTTCCACTTTGACACACACACACACACACACACACACACACACACACACTTTCCAGGGTGGAGGGAGAGCTAGAATATTCCATCTAACAGGCCGTTGTGCTGAATTGCAGGAGGGGAAGGAGCTCCCTGGAGCCACAGCAGACCGCCTTCCGGAGGTTTCCCTACTGCTATTCCCGCCCTTCAGCTCCTTCTCTGAGCGCAAAGGTGAGCCCTCTGTGTGCAAGCTCCCAGCCCTTCTCTCAGGGAGGCGGCAGGGTTCGAGGGGAAGCCCCTCCCCACATACCAACAATAGCCAGAGTGGCCAGAAGCTGGGGCAAGGGCCTGAGAAGGCCCCCTCCCAGCCCTAGTTCCCTCTGTCAGAGATGCCCAGGCCTTGGGGATAAGACTAGCGTCTTGTTTGCTCGGGACACAGGCCATGTGTTGTTGTGCCTCCTGCAGGGAGTGGACAATAGTGTGGTGCCAGTGTCACTGTGCAAGGGGACTGTTCTTACTCCTGGGCACACACACCTGCTCCTGTGACATCCCTCGTTGAAAGTCACGTCTTCAGGGGTTTGGCTGCCCAGGTGGGTCTCAAAGGACAGCTAAGAGGCGCGGTCTCTGCCTTCTTGTTCCTGGGGTGCAGCCTGGCTGGTGACCCGCAGAGGCCCCAAGTTCTGGCCAGGCAACTCCTCCACCTCCACTCTGCCACGGCCCCACTGGGATCCCATCTGGCCCTCTTTGCCACCTTAACCAACATGACAGGTTCAGGTGTTTTACTAGGTTCCCTTGGTTGGTTTCTGTTCATCTGTGTCCCAGATGTCAGCGCCTGGGAAGGGGGTGGAAGATTGAATCTGTCTTCATTTTTTGGGCACCTTTCTGTGCAGTCTGTGGGCATCTCCCACCCCCCTGGGGAGGAGGCCACATTTCTGGGGCATGACCAAACCAAGATGGCAGGAACCCGGGGTTCCAACTTGGTAGGGAGTGGGGTGGGCCAGGACCAGGGGCTGTGGTGGAATCTCTGTGTGGGCGGCAGGAGGAGGAAGGCTGCTTGACACATGGCAAATGTTGATGTTTGCTCTGGCTGCATGGCTCATGCATTGTTGATGTGGTGTGTACAGCAGGGTACAGGTGTTCTCTGCCAGACCAGAAAGTGGGGAGGAGCTATGGGCTTCCAGGAGTGGACCTGGAGCTGTGCTGGAGGGTTCATGAGACCAAGCCCAGCAAAGCAGAACATGTGCTGGCCCATGAGGAGTAGACTGGGAACTGCCCGCCATCAGCTTCTGGGTTTGAAAGAGATTCCTTCCTCTGTCTCCTTCTCTGCCCACACCCAGGACCTCTCTCACCTCAGTGGGCCCTGACCCCCAACATCAGCCAGAAAACTCCAGAAGCCAGCCTAAGCAGCCCCCAATCCCACTTCTAACACCTTGCTTATCCCTGGAGGCCCTGCCCAAGCTTGCCTCCCATCCCTGCCCTTCCGCCCACACTTGGAATAGCCTAGAGCTCCGCAGATGTAATGCCCACACCTGTGCCCCACCCACACATTGCCCAGATTTCATGTGGCCCTAACTCCAGGCCAGCTCCTCTGCAGCCCTTCCCCATGTTGGCACACAGAGCCCTCAAGCATATGTCTTATGAAGCCTGCTTCACAGCAGGTGTCACCACCCTGGTATACACCAACAGCCCAGCTCCCCGAGTCCCAGGAGAATAGGGCCCTGTCCTGACCAGGCTAGCATCCCTGATGCCCATCACCAGCCCAGAATGGAGCCTGCTGGCTTTGGTATCACCTGAGGGTCCTTCCCAGGAGATGCATGTCCCCCTGGGAACATTACTGTGAAGTCCCTTTGTGGAGGACATTCCATGAAAAATAGAGAAGAGTGATGCATCCGAACGCACATTCTCTAAGAACCAAAGGTGGACAGGGCTGGCCTGGGGCTGGGGCACCGGGGACGGGAGGTAGAGATGGAGAAGCCATGGCTGCCCCTGGTGGGTACCTGGGAATGGAGAGGGAGGTGCCCAGGGTAGCCAGAGGACCCAGGCCCACATGAGGCAGGCAGCTCTGGGCTGGCCCAGGCCCTGAACCTGGCAGCCTTGGGTTTAGCGTCTCTGGCTCATGGAGCAATTGTCAGCAGCTCCCTCCTTCCCCCCACAAGCCAAGGGTCCCCACATCCCAGGATGGGCCCTCACAGGGCCCACTAGCCATCCTTGAGAGCTGAGAGCACTCGTAGCCCCTCGTCATGGTGTGTGGGCATCGTGGGTGGCACCTGGCACCCTGTGGGAGGCCCAGCAACCTTCAAGATGAGCTGGCAGAGTCAGCTGCAGTGTCACCCAGGTGACCGGGGAGATGTCCCTCCCGGCCCTGGGCCTTGGGCTCCCCCAGCAAGGCAGTGGACAGTAGTGGGCAGAAGGAGAGGTGGTGGTGCCTTACCCCCTGCTCCTGACAGATCTGCGTCAGCCTTTCCAGCTGCTCGTCCTGGACGGCCTTGGCCTTCTCGTATTGCTGGATGACCATCTCCATCTCCACCTTCACCGGCAGCACGTAGGCTGGAGGGGAGGGCAGCCCTGTGAGCAGCTCGGCAGTAGCAGGGCTTGCTGGGCCGAGGGGCAAGTGTGGGCCCCAGACTCAGTTCCCCCAGGATGGGGAGAGGACAGAATTCAAAGTTACCCTGAAGCTGCACCCTTAACTCAGTCTCCCTCCTTGTCCACAGTGGTGCCACCCTTCACTGGGCTTTGTGCAGAGCCACCTGCAATATGGCCTGGGCATGAGGCCATATTCTGGGGTCAAGAACAGGGGCCAGTGGCTTCCTGAGAAGGCAGCTTGGGAGGGGGTAACTGATCCAGTGGTTAAGACATGCCTGGCTCAAATCCGAGTCCTGAAGGTCCAGTCCCAAAGCTGGCTCCTGACCGTTGTTCCCTGCCCATGCAAGTCCTGGCTAGCAGCAGGTGGAGATGGGAGAGGGAGGCTTGGCTCAGGTAGCTGAGCTCCTATCACCCCCGTGGGAGACCCAGATTGAGTGCCTGGCTTCAGCCCAGCCCGGCCCAGCCCGGCCCAGCCCACCAGAGCTGTTGTGTGCATTTGAGGGTGTGAACCAGCGGCTGGGAGCTTTCTGTCGGTTTGTCTGTCTCAGGAGGTAGTGCTATGCCCCTCGTGCACAGCAGGTGCAGCCACTGTGGACAGCAGCTTGGTGCTTCCTGGCAAATGTTAAAGAGGGACCACCCGGCCTGGAAATCCCACTCTAAAACTAGGATACAGGAAGACACCCACCCACACACAGACTTCTCCACGAACGTCGACAGCAGCGCCAGTCCCAGTTGTGGGAATACAAAAGGCTTCTGCTTTGTCTAAATCATCATTCGTCTCTGTGAGTCACGACACTCTTGAAGATGTGTTTATGTGACTGCAAGGCCGAGTGACAGAGAGGGAGTGGAGGAGGGGAGAAGGGTCCGGCAGAAGCCGGGACCCAGATCTCCCATATGGGAGGCAGGGTCCCAAGTATAGAGCCACCACCTGCTGCTGCTTCCCGGGGGACATTAGCAAGGAGCTGGACTGGAAACAGAGGAGCCAGGACTTGGCCAGCCCCCAGTATAGGGCAGTGGGCATTGCAAAAGGTGGCTTAAAGCACTGCCCATAGGAAGACCCGGAGGAGACATCCTGTACCCAGGAGAGGGAGGGCCGGGGCTCTCCCAGGTAGTTTTCTGCAGCTCATCAGCCCTGAGCTCCTGGAAGTCTCAGTCTCAACTCCACCTTGACTTGACCTTCTCATCCTTCTTGCGCCTTCCAGAATGCAACCCTTCCTGGCTGTTCGGAGGCCTGGGTCCCTCCTCTGACCACCGTGTTCTCTAACCTTCCATGTTGCCACTCCCCTCGAAGCCTCCCAGGTGCTCCCTGGCTGACACAATAACATCCATGCAGACAGGAAATTCAGGACTGTGTTGGCAGTGGCCTTCCCCGGCTCCAGGCCCAGGGACTGCCTCCTTGGCTCTGCCCAAGACAAGAACGGCAGAGTGACATCCATGGGTGTCACCAGCATTGCCTCTAACGGTGGGGCCTAGCATGTGGGGGAGAAGGGGAACAGACAGGGGGAGCGCTCCCTTCAGAGAGGACGCTGTGCGACCGGGCAGCTGTCTGCAGCTGGCATGATGCAGTACGCACCACCCTACCCTGCCTTGTCCTGCGGAGAACGATGCTCTCAGTGGTCCAGGACTGCTTGTATGGGGCCAAGCAGCCCTCAGCCGTCCTGCCTCAGCTTGCCTATCTGTCAGATGAGAGGAATGCGCAAGATGACCCTCCCTCTCCTCCTCCCCCATCCAGGGTCTTCTGGATTTCCAAAGTCCAGAACCCAATCATGAAAATACTAGGTTAGGGGCTCCCTGATGAGAGATGAGCTGGGCTATGGGGTGGGAGGCCAGGGAGGGGTGTTTCCCCCAGGGGATGGGAGACCCTGGAGGCCTCGTTGGCTGCCTTCACCCCTGGGGACCAATCCAAGTCATAACCTCTACCATCTGCAGTGAAAATCTAGGGCTTTGGGGGCAGGGGCCAGCCAGCAGTGTGGCGCAGCGGGTTAGACCACCACCTGCATCCCATATAAGCACTAGTTTGAGTCTCAGCTGCCCCATTTCCAATCCTATTCCTTGTTCATGGCCCTGGGGAAGCAGTGGAAGATGGCCCAAGTGCTTGGGTCCCAGCACCCACGTGGGAGACCTGAAGAGGGGTCCTGACCTAGGGGACAGTGACACTGGGGAGGGAATTGACGCTGTCCTAGGGCAGAGGGAAATTGAGTCATGGGCCCAGGAGCAGGTGGGCAGGGACACACGTGGCTCCCTCCAGAAGGGCGGTCCCATCACTGCATGTGCTGTGAGTAGCTCTACTGGCCGTCACCAGGACACTCACCATCAATGACTCTCTTCACGCGCCACACCCGGAGCACGATGATGAGGCTGATGGCGTCCCAGGGGCTCCGGGGCCCATTGGCCACTGTGGACGCCACCATCGGGGCCAGGGACAGGATGATCACAGCCCCGTCAAACACCTGTGAGGGAAGGCAAACCTCAGCACCCTGGGTCTTGTCGCCAGCCCTAGAGCCAGAAACCCTGCCCATGGTCAAGGGTGAGGAGGAGCCCCTGGGCTGGGGCTGGGGGTGGCTCCGGTGTTTACCTCGATCTTGTTCTCGATGTAATCCCAGATGCCAAGCACCACAATCCGCAGGACAGTCTGGGAGGGGCGGAGGAGAAACAGAGAGAGAGAGAGAGGGTTTAGGGTTCTGCAGCAGCTCCCTACCTCTCCCCCACTGAGAAGATTCCAGAACTCAAGGCCAAGAGTACTCAGTCTCAGGGGAGGGTCTTCCCTACCTCCTAAGCGCCCCCACCCCCCACCTGCAGGGGGTCAGGTGGCCCCTCTGCCTCTCCTCTTTGTGCCACTCCCCAGGGCACCCCTCACAACTCCTGACCCCATGCCAGCCTTCTCTGTGTCCTATAGTGGAAACCTGCACCTCCCAGTCCTCCTCACACCCTGTGCCCCTCTGGGCTGTGTCCTTGGGGTTTCCAAGTAAGGTAAGTGTAAGGCTGCAGGACCCTGCTGGCCTCACGCTCCTGGACCAGCCTTCACCCCCCTACACAAGCCAACTTTTTGGTAGCAGAGAAGGGGAGCCTTCCCCCCATCCCAAGCTAGTGCACTCAATCGTTGGAGAACGTAACCCCTGCCACCCAAGAGGGAGGCCAGGAGGGGCTCCTCCGCTTGGCTTTGATGTGCCTGTTGTGGCTGAGCTGGTGGATGGGAACCCATGGCTCATCCCTGTCTCTTTCTGTGTCTCAAATACATACATAAATTAAAAAAAAAAAAAACAAATATGCTCTTGGGCAGGTTTTGCCTGGGGCTATCGTTGGACAGCAGGAGGAAGCTATGGGTCCCAGGATCCAGCTGCAAGTGAACCTAGGGAGAGGGGAACAGCCCTTGCCAGGCTCAAGTCCACAGTGTGGAACAGGTGGATAGGGACGGCCGGTGACTGATGCACGAGCGCCGCCTGGGGGCAGCCATTGGCAAAACAGGAGCACACGGACTGGTCCAGCCTCTCACAGGCACTCCCTCCCAGCTCCACCCCGGGGTTGCTGCACCCGCACTTCCTCCCAGCTCCACCCCGGGGTTGCCCAGGGGCTGTCCTGAGATGCGGGAAGTTCGCTCCCAGCTTCCACTCCTCATGGGAACAGTCTTGATAAACCCCCTTGCCAAAAACCTCTCCTGGAAATGGGTCTCCTTTAGACTCTACCTCTAAAAGCCAGGTGTGTGTGTGTGTGTGTGTGTGTGTGTGTGTGTGTGTGTGTGCGTGTGTGTGTGTGTGTGTGTGTGTGTGTGTTTTCCCACCTCTCCCTGCCCCCTGCCCACAGTTCTCATGCCCCCCATGGCTGCATCCCAGAGACCCCCTCAATCTGAAGAGTGCCTCTGTAGCTTCCCAGTCACCCCACTTCCTCACACCTCCTTAGCTTCCCCTTCCTGTGCACTCGGCCAGCCTCTTGTCCTTTGTCGCCCAGGACCCTGGTTTCTTTTCTCCTGGGATCCCCTGTGTCCCTGGGACCTCCTCCCCCATGGTGGCAGCCTTGGTGACTCTGGAATCCCCAAGCCCACGGCTATGGCTTCAACTCCTCTCCTGACCAGCTGTCCTCAGCCCAGTCAGCAGTGTCCCCACCTTGGGGGCTCAGCCAGAGCCCCTGGGGACTACAGGGGACCCCTTACCTGCTCCCTGTCACCCCAATCCTGCTCCCTAACCTCCCATCCCCACTCCCCTGTGATCTTTCTAAGCTAAACCGTGCCTTCCACTGGCTAGAAAAGGCTGTGTGTCCAGCTCCTTCTGGCTTGGAACCCTGGGGATCCCTCGATATTGCAGGCTGGCCACAAGTCCAGGCCCACACACAGTCTTTCTGCCACCAGCTCGCCAAGTCTCCCTCCAGAACCCAGCATGCCCCCTAAGCATGCTGCCTTCCAGTGTGTGTCATGTACCCAGATGTGGGTTGGGAGATGGCTATCTCTCCCAGACCTCTTCTCTGTTTTAAAGTTGGCCCCCTTAGCTTCCTCACTGGCCAGTTGTAGCCTCGTGAACCACCACTAAGGAAACAGCAAGATGGGGGCAGTGCGGTGTCTGATCTCCACTCACTGCCGCACTCTGACTTACGCCAACCCCTGTGCTATTCATTTTAAAGATTAAAAAAAAAAAAACTTATTGGAAAGGCAGAATGGCAGGGAGGTAGACAGGGATCTTCCATCCGCTGGTTCACACTTCAAATGGCCAGTTAAAGCCAGGTCTCACACATGGGTGCAGGGGCCCAGGGACTTGGGGTATCCTCTGCTGCTTTCTCAGGTGCATAGGCTGGGAGCTGGATGGGAAATTTGGAAATGTTACTTTGGGTAGGTTTGTACCCTGATGTCACTGCTGGGCTGCAGTCATCACAGGCTGTCCCATGTCAATTGATTTCCGATAGATGTGTCCCTGAGCCACAGGTGCCTGTAGGGACCTCCTCATGCTCTTTTGAAGATGTATTTGTTTAATTTGAAAGTCAGAGTCTCTCTCTCTCTCTCTCTCTCTCTCTCTCTCTCTCTCTCTCTCTCTCTCTCTCTCTCTCACACACACACACACACACACACACACACACAGAGAAAACTTCCATCCTCTGCTCCCAAAATGGCCACAATAGCTGAACCAGGCTGAACCATGAACCAGGAACTTCATCTGGGTCTCCCACGTGGGTGCAGGGAACCCAAGGACTTGAGCCATCTTCTGCTGCCTCTTTTGAGCACATCAGCAGGGAGTTGGATCAGAAATGGAACAGCTGAGACTTGAGCTGATGTCACAGAGATTTTACGTACTTCACCCACTCCATCACCCTGGGTACCTTCTCACTGGTCTCTTACAACCCAGACCAACAGAGGAAGTTTATACCCACAATCCCACTTGAATGTCGCTCATAGACCAGGATGCTTGATTTGCTCAGAGCTGAAATGACTTCCCCAGGGCACACTGCAGGTAAGAGCCTGAACCAGGAGCCTCTCACCTGTTCTTCCTCCATTCCCCTGGCCCACCACAATGAGGTGGCTGCCTGGTGGAAAGATGAAGGTCTCCACCCCTAGGGATACCTAGCAGTGTGGGGTGACAGAGCAGGTGTGATGGCAGGCAGGTGGCACTTACTGCTTATACTTGGCTGGGATTTTAAAACAGTATTATTTACTGGAGAGCGAGATCTTGTATGCTGTGGCTCGCTTCCCACATGCCCGAAATAGCCAGAAGCTTAAAACATCCATCCAGGTCTCCCACATGGGTAGCAGGAAAGCAAGGTACTTGAGCCAGCTCCTGCTGCCTCCCAGGCACGTTTAACAGGCACAGAATGGCTGGGGCTGGAAACAGGCACGCCGACATGGGTCGCAGGCATGCCAAGTGGTGGCTTAACTCACTGCACCATTTCCAAATCCAGCACATGGGGGTGGGTGCTGAGAAGGGGATGGCACTATTTTTAACAGGCAAAAGTGAAGAACTTCCTCCAATCCCTATTTGAGGGTTAAACTGGGAACATCCACACGGCAGAGGCAGACACAGAAAAGCACGAATGGGTGGCCTTTTGGTACTGTGGTTAAGACCTTGTTTGGGGTGCCTGATGGCTGCAGACCCTTTCAAGGTTCAATCCCTGGTCCAGATGTCCAGTAAGTTTGGTATCTAGCCTGAGCTGGCCAACTCCCAGCAAGAGCTGGCTTGACCTTTTCTAAACAAGTGCATTCTGTATTTCTAGACTCTTCTTTATATATTCAGCCACAAAGCACAAGTGACAGTAAATAGGAGAGGAAAAACCGGGTGTGGATGAGCCTTTTTCTCCCAGATGCATATTATCTATCCCCCCCCCCCATAAGTGATGGGCAGATCACATGCTCTCCCAGTGGGTGACCAACTGGGCACAGAGCCTGTGTCCCAGGGAGCAGGAGAACAAGTCATCCCAGCTGACCATGGAGGAAGGATGGGGCTCAGAGCAGGGTGCAACCGGGCATGGCCCAAGTTTTGGGGTCCTGCCGGGCAGCAGGCACCAGCCTGGGCGTTTTCAGAATAAGAACAGAACTTAATGTGGCCACCTACAGCTCAAGGCACACCTGTGCAGCCCTTACCCTCTCGGGAAACTCTTGTTTCTTCCTGCTGATGCAGATCTGGCCCGGAGCAGGTGGTAGCTCACACACGTGGGTTCCTGTGACCCACGTAGGAGACCCTCTTTGAATTCCTGGCTCTAGCTTGGCTCAGGCCTAGCTATTACAGCTCTTTAGGGGAGGAGGGAGAATCAACGGGTTTCTGTTTCTCTCTCCCTTTCAAATTCAATAAATTACCTCTTGATTCTGTCTTCCATGAGCAGTCTGGATGCCGACCCCTCTTTGCAGGCTCCCGTGGGCCAACGCACCGTCAGGAGCTGAGGGTGAACCTCAGACTGGAGCCACGAGGTCATCAGCAGTGCTGCCACCTAAGCCACCCTGGCACCTCAAAATGCTCAGGAGAAGTGGCACCAAGAGGTAAGGTGACTGCGGCATATAAGGTGATGAAAATTGTGCAAGTGAGGGGCAAGTCGGGAGCTCCTGGGGTCCCAGCGTCTTGGGGTTGGCCATGGGGATGAACCTCACTCGCCAAGCCAGAGAAGGCTGGAGGTGATGCTGCTTGACCCACAGCCACGCCCCCAAGCTATGAACCAAAAAGAGCAGTTCAGAACAAAGGAGCGACATTCACCATTGCCAGTCCCTGGGGCCTGGGGTCAGTCCCTGGTCCTCTCCTGGCAGCACAGGGTGCTGACCCGGTGTTGGCCGTGACTGTGTGGGTCATCCTGGGCCGCTGACCCTTAGCAGTGTGCATGGTTCTAGAAGAACCTGTTGACATTTTCAGAAGCAAACACAGGACACTGGCACCTGAGCCTTCCTGTGGGTGGCGTCCCTGTCACCATGAATAGCAGGACTGCCTCCCACGCCTCTCAGGCCCTCTGGGGTCAGTGGGGCCGATTCTCTAGTGAAGCCACAGAAGCCCTGACGCCAGGTGACACTCTGGGGAGCCAGGTCTCCTTGTCACTCCACCGCTAGGCCCCAGGGTCAGGGCCTCCACCCCTCTCTGCTGTCCAGCTCCCACCACCTAGCCTGTGGGAAGTCCTCCAACCCCGGGGTGTCTCAAGTGGTTTGTCTCCAGTGGCGACAGGAAGGGATCCTGAATTAATGCGGGGTCATAAATCTGGCCCAAGGATCATAAAAATCAAGCCTAGGGCATGGAGGGGTAAGAGCCGCAGCAACTGGCTAAACATTTTTGTTGGCAGTCACACACACAGCACATTCCCTAAGGTCTGCATAGAGAGACATCTGGCCACAGCCCGGGTGTCCGTGGGACCTGGCGGACAGGGTGGGGGGCGGGGCGCAGCTGCTGCTCAGCTCCAGAGCCTCAGGCCCCCAAGCCCTGGGCTGCAGGAGCCAAGGCGTGCACAGAGGATGTGCTGTGCGTGGGAGGCCAGCTGCCCTGTCCACCTCACCCCTGGCCACACTCAGCAGCATGACCATAATGCCCAGCTCTCTCCTGATGTGTTGCAAGAGGTTTCTGGGACTGCTTGGGTTTTGGCTCACACTATAAAAATTCACCTCCAAGCCCTTGTTCCGCGCAGACTGCCTGTGGCTGCAGGCTGGGCAACCCTGCTGCCCCGGCTCAGCCCCACTCAGTGTGCAAGACACCCTGACATCGCTTGCGCTGAAGCCCCGCCCCAATGCTGCCTCCTTTTTGCATATGCAATTAGGGCCCCACCCCCTACCTCATAAAGGGAAGACTGGAATTGGAGTGACGGCAGATACCATTTCCCGCAACACCTGTGCATGTCCCTGTGAGCCTGAACTCCGTGGGCATCTTCACATCACCTCTGCCTTCCCCTCAAGCCTGCGGGCTGGGCTGGTGGCCCATGCATTGGACCAGTCCCTGGCTCCATTAGGAGGAGCTGGTGTTGCCCAGGAGACATTCCTGTTCCCACAGGATCAAGTCCAGCTTGATCTCAGCAGGAAGCCCTGTCCCCTTGGGGAGCTCAGCTCCCTGTATCACACCTGCTTCCCTGCTGTGCGGCCTCAGGGACAAGCCCAGGGCCTCCACCGGGCAGGAAAGCCTGGCTGTCCCTGGGACTCGGGGCTGGAGGGGCCAGAGCTGTCACCCACCTCGGAGAAGAACACGGACAGGATGATGAGGCTGATCCAGTGAATGGCGCCCGCGAACTGGAAGGCGCTGGAAACTGCAACACAGGAAGGGCCCATTGGAGGGGCCACCAGCTGGCAGAGCCGGCTCCCCGGGGACATTCAGAGGTGGCTGCATTCGGGTCAGAGAGCCACAGCCAGCCAGCTAGGGCAGCTAGGGACCCAGGAGCTGGTATGGGGGTGGGGAGGAATGTCACACCCTGTGTGGCAGAGCTGAGAAGGCTGGGGTGGGGGCAGGGGGTGGGAAAGGAGATGGGGAGCTAGCAGCCCAGATGGCCTCTCCCTCTGCCCCCCCAGGTTCAGGGATGAACGGCAGCGGTGGGCGGGAGAAGGTGCTGGCTGTGGGTCCCACCTGCCTCGCCTTCAGCTAGTGCCCCTTCCCCGAAAGTCCCAGCCAGGGACATGTCCGCTGGCAAGGCCCAGAGCAAGGTGGCTGGAACTCAGGACGCAGGACAGGTGGGGAAGAGAGACTGCAGGAACCCAGGCAGGTGTGGCGAGGACAGAATTGCTGTCACATTCTCAGCAGCCTGCCTGCCTGGCACCCTGTGAGTCCCCGGGGATACTGTCCAGACTGGAAAGGCAGCTCCCGGGGTGTGCAATCCCAGGTGCAGGTGGGGGACACGGGGTCCCCTGGCCTTGGGCCAGTGCACCCCTTAGACCAAGCCCCGAGGTGCTGCAGATTCTTTCCAGTCCCGGGTCACAGGGACACCAGTGGGAACCAAGAAGCCGAGTGACTCAAATACAAAAAAAACAAAAAACAAAACTCTCTCCATTATTTCTCCAGTGAATTCTTGGGCTATTAAAAAAAATGGTTTGCATGAACACAGAGCCATAAATCTCTGGTTGTGCATTTTTATGGAATTTGACATGCCTTTTTATGAGCTGCTTTGGATCTCCTACTAAAGCCAATCGCCTGGAGATTTCATGTTAAGAAAAAAAATTTTTTTCCCCAGCATTGGCCAGTTCTCTGTTTCACTGAACACCACCCCCGAGATCCCCACCCACCCCAGTTGCAGCCTGCCCCTCACCCCTGCCTTCCCCAAGCAGAGCCAAAAGGCAGCGGGGCCAGCAGGGCTGGGCGGGAGGTCGTGATTCTAGCATGGTTTAATAGAATACAGGCTGCGTGTGAAGCTGGGGTGGGGCTTGTTGGGCCCCCTCTTCTGGAAAATGGCTCCTGTGGTCCCACATTCCAGTTCCCAGGGCCAGCCTCTTAACCTGCCCCACCTCCACCCCCCCCCCCACCCCACTGCCGCATCTCAATTTGCTTGTCCAGGAGGAATGACCACACCCGGAATCTAAGTGTTACTGGTGCTGGTCCCAATAGGACACAGCTCCATTAAATTACAGAAAATTCCAAATAGTAACAAAAGTGTGTGTATGTGTGTGTGGGATGCATACAGGAGCCTCCAGCCTTTTTTTTTTTTTTTCTGTCTCATCAAGTCCCTGGTGGTGGAATGTTAGATGGGGCCCAGCTCAAGAGACCCTCCCTTGGGTCCAGACCCCCGGGCAGAAGGCGATCCCCTTGAAGCCAGGTGGTGGGTTGTGGGAGGGGGCCCCCTGGTGGACGCAGGTGCACATGACGTATTCTCTCTGGCTACTCACAGTGGAGAAGCTTTACATCTATTAGCAGTTCCAGGGTCAGGAGAATCACCACCAATATTACACAGGCTACCAGGAAACTGTTGAGACTCGCACTGAGCAAAAATACCTGCCACGTGGCTGCTCGCTTCCCACAGCACGGCTTCAGCCAGTTAGACCTGCGGGGACACAAGCCAGGAGAGGCGGGCTGAGCCGGGCAGCCCCAGCATCTCCCAGTGGGAAGTGCCTGGACTGCTTTTCCTAGCCCTGGCTCCTGATTCCAGCTTCTGCGAACCTTAGGCCCTGGGTGGTGACAGGTGCTGACTCCAGGGGAGTGGGTTCCTGCCCTCCACCGTGGAGGCCTGGGTGGAATGTTCTGGCTCCTGGCTTTGTCCTCCAGCTCAGCTTAAGCATGGCCATTGCAGGCATCTGGGGGAGTGAATCAGCGGGTAGAAACTTGTCTACTTAGCACGCCATCTCTCTTTCAGTTTCTCACCCTCTCTCTAAATTTGCCTTTCAGATCAATCAGTCCATCTTAAACAGAACAACAAAAACTCAACGACACTGATTCTCAGCCATCACCTCCTGTCCAATCCAGCTGGGAGGAGATGACAGAGTCCAACTCCCGGTGCGTCCACGGTGCCACTGGACCGAGAGTGGCGGCTGCATTACAGGAGGTGGGGTGGGGAGTTCTTCATGACCCAGCCGTGGGGGGTAGGGAGAGTGGGCAGGATAAAGCTTATGACTGTTCAGAGTACCAGGCAGGAAACTGGGCTTGTTCTAGTCTTTTCTGTAAGGTTCTATCTAGAGACGTGTGGGAGTGACGGACTCTGCAGGACAGGCACAAGCTGTGGGAGCTGGCCCCCTAGAGAGAGGAAGGCCAGTTTGGGCAGGTGCTGGAGGAGTCAACGGGGGACTTGGGGATGCTGAAGGAGGGGGAGCTGATAGTCACCATGAATTCATTCTTTGAATTTAAAAAATGAATTTGAAAGATGGGTGGACAGGGCCCAGTATGATGGCTTCATGGCTAAATCCACATGTTGGATGAGCCACGATCCCATATGGGTGTCAGTTCATGTCCTGACTGCTCTGCTTCCCATCCAGCTCCCTGCTTGGAGTGGAGGATGATCCAAGGCCTTGGGACACTACACCTGTGTGGGAGACCCAGAAGAAGCTCCTGGCTTTAGATCAGCTCAGCTCCAGCCACTGCAGCTATTTAGGGAGTGAACCAGTGGGATGGAAGATCTTTCTGTGTTTCTTCTCTGTAAATCTGTACTTACAATAAAAACAAACAAACAAACAAACAAACAAACAAAAAAACTCTTGAAAGATGGGTGGATACAGACACACCAAGATCTTCCATGTACTGGTTCACTTCCCAAATGCCAGCACCAGCTGGGCCTGGATCCAAACCCAAAGCCAGGGCTCCCTCTGGGGTCTCCCACTGAGGACTTACCTGCTCCCCCCTCCAAGGCTGCACATTAACAGGAGGTTGCGATCAGAAGTACAGCTGGAACTTGGACCAGGCCCTTCGGTTATGGGGGTTATGCGGACACCCCAATTGGAGTCATTGTTTTAATTGTCACCCCAAACACTGGCCTGAGCTGACATTTCAATTATGGCAGTAAGGGCGTGACAATAAGGGGGGGGGGGGATAAAGCCCACAGGGCTATCTGGGGGAGTGCCCATCTGGCCTGGCTGAGTGTCCAGCAGGCAGGGATAGTTTGGGGTACTCTGCAGTCTGCAAGGGTCCTCCAGGGCTGAGAACCTCGCCAGAGCAGGGAGGGCTTCCCCTTCAGGAAGTGGGGCGGGGGGCTTTCAAACTGCCAGTCCCTGGGCAGGTGCGGCCAATGCTGCCTTAGGTTTTGCCTACCCCCGCCCCCCACTCTCCACCTGCCAGGTCCCAGCCTGCACCTTGCGGCCTTGGCCCCGGCCCCTGACTCCTGTCTCCACAATCTTCTGCTGGTTTACATCATGTCCTGTGAGAGCCCAGGTGGATGCAATTGAAGTCCACGCGGGGAATGCTGGGATCCACGGGGTCGGAAGACCCGCATCTTCCGGGGCAGCGTTCCTCAGTTGCAGCTCCACCCTGCATAACCGGGGGAGCCCCCGAGCCCCAGCGTCTAGGCCACCCACAGACACACCAGACCACTTCAACTACCTCCCTGCCAGACCGGTGCCAAGTTGCAGCAGCGCCAGTGACAGAGGTAAGCCTGAGAACCACGTCCCTGGGAGCTCGGGAGGACCCCGGGCAGTGTCAGCGCTCCGCACAGCGGCTCTCCCGGAGGACACAGGTGTGTTAGCAGGGGGCTGGGGGGGGGGGGGGACGCCGCGGGCAGTGCTGCCCCAGGAGCCGCCAGCGGAGAGCAGGCGCGCCCCGATGTCCACCCTGAGGAGAAGGTGGCCTTGGTGGGCAGGTGGACATGGTTGTGTGCTAAGCTGCCTAGGAGAGAGGCCGCGGGGGGCGGGAGGGCAGGCTGGGCGCCATGGTTGCGTGCTTCTGTTTTGTTTTCGAAGGTGTTGGGTTAAAAAGTCAGAGTACAGTGTAGATTATGGAAACACCTAAAAGGCAAACGCTCTAGCCTTTGTTGGCGTGGTGTGTGTGTGTGTGTGTCTCCCCGTCTGCCCCCATCACAACTCTGCAGTTAAGTCCTTGCCACCATTGGTTCTTAGTCCCTGAAATGGAGGCGTCTGCCTGTGCAGGCTTGCTGTGAAGGTGCAAAGCATTAAAATAATCACTTCCCAGGAACCTCAGGACACGTGGCTTGCCATCCATATCAGCTGTGCCTGATGGTCTGGGTGCCTGGCTTGGTCGTCTGGGAGGGGTGGCGGAGTTTCAACGTGTATTCCATTCTGCATCTAGTTATCATGTGCCCCGACATCGTATGGGGCGCTTTATGAAATAACGGATTGAAAGGGGTAATTCAATGATCAGCTTTGGGACGTTGGTCGTTAAGATGCTGGTTCACAGAGCCCCTGGGCAGTCTTCAGCCCCAGTGTCTGACGCCAGCTTCCTGCTGATGCCGGCCCTAGGAGGCAGCAGGTGGTGGTGCAAGTTCCTGCCGCCCAAGAGTGAGACTCGGATAGAATTCCCAGCTCCTGTCTGGCTGTGTCCGATCCCAGCCATTGCAGACTTTTGGGGAGTGGGCCAGTGGGTGGAAGCTTTTTCTTTCTCCTCTTTTTGCACTTGTACAAAATTCACAGGAGATGCTGATTGTCTGGGGCCACCTCCTGGTGAGCCTGCAGCAAGTAAACCCCTAGATCTTGCTAAAAAGCAAATAAACCGACGAGGCTTCTCCAGTCAGAAACCGTATTGTTGACCTTGATAATGTTTCTGGAAGGCAGGCCCCCCAGGCTCCCTCCCAGCGATAAACAGTCGTGGCCAGAAGGGTTAGGCTGATTGGGGCAGGGGGGAGGTTCTGCCAGCCCTTCGCAGGACCACAGGGTCACCAGCCACAGAGCAAAAGGTGAGACCAGCTTGCTGTGCCCACAGGGGGGCTGTGTCCAGCTGAGGTCATCAGAGCCTACCATTTGCATGCCCCAGGATCTTAGAGGATCTTAGATCTCCCAACCTCCTGGCAAATGTCATTCTTGGAAGGAACGTGGCCCATGAGGCAGGAGCTGGGATTGTGCCTGGCAAGCTACGCCTATCTTTGCTCACCCTCTCAGGACAGGAGAACCCGCCTGGCCACCCCACACCACGCAAAGGGGTACCCAGGGCCCCGTGGCCAGGGAGTAGCTCCCAGCTCTGTCAGCGCCCAGCCTTCTTGGGGAGGGTGGTGCTCTGCAGGCTGGCCAGGGCCAGTGGCCACGAGTCTGCCATAGGCAAACCCGGGCGGGCCAAGGCCTAGTACCTAGGTGCCCCCATAGCTCAGGGAGCACCCCCGTTGCCTTCCCGGGTGACCGGGACTCCAGTCCCCTGCCCCGCCCACCGTGGCCAGCGGCGCTCTGCCGCCGTCTAGCGGTCACTCCCGGCAGCACCGTCCGTGCTTCGAGTGAAGTGGTCTTGGCCACCTAAGGTTACCAGAGAAATCAGCTTATGTGTGTGTTTTATCGTCTTCCTAATAGGTGCAAAGTCTTTGGGCTATAGTCCAAAGGTCTAATCTGTGCTTTCTAGGGAAAAAAATATAGACATATATATTTTTTGGTGGTGGGGGAAGGAGGCACACTGTGACTCTGGTTGGAGCACTGTGAATTCTAAACCCACTGAAATAAGAGCGGGGTTCAGCTGGGGGTGGATTGTGGACGCACCAGTGAAATCTGGCACTCGAATCCCCCCATCCCACGGCCAGGGAGGGGGCCCTCACCGGTTACCCCAGGACACCCCTTGCTTTCCACTGAGGGGAAGCGGGCATGCCCCAGGCAAGGCTGCTGCTGGCTTTGCTTGGGTGGGGGGCGTGCAGTGTGCACCCCTCCCAACCCCCAGCCCGGCGGGGGCTCCCCCTCTGCGGGGTCGGGGTCCAGCTTCCGGCTCCCCACACCCCGAGCAGCGGCTTCCTTCCCTTCTGCAGCCCCTCCCCTCCCCTCCCTCCCTTATCCATTGATTCCCTGGATCGGTCAACACCCCCTCCAGTTGCAGGAGCCCCCGGCCCCGCCCTGGAGGCACACTCGGCGAGGAGGAGAGCCGGCTGTCGCCCCTGGGTGCACGGGTGCAGGTAGGCGAGGGTGCGGGGTCCCCCGAGCTGGGCCTGGAGGCGGGGGTCCCTGCCCGGACAGTCTGGGAAGCCATTAGGGTCCCTGGGGCTGTTGTGGCCTGTTAGGTATCCCCCTGCCTCGGCCTTCTCTCGGCGCCTCCCTGACCCCCCGGGTCTGGGCGCAATGGCCACCTGCTTGGACTTGGGACACTGGCCCTTTCAGGCCCTCCTGGAAGACTCAGCTGAGAAACTATCATGTCCTCCTGTGACCAACAGCACCCCGGCCTGGGGGCCGGCCGGCCCAGCTCAAATGGCACGGGAATGAGGGCCTCCGGGTGATGCGACCCTTTGTGGAGATCATCTGGAAAGCGGGTGGTTCCCAGACCAGCAACTGGGAAGGCTGGCGGAGGGGCGGATGGAGTGCTGGCTGTGGATGCGGACCGGACGCCCCTCAAGGCGGCAGCGCCATGAAGCGCCTCCATGGCCGCCCCGGCCCCGCCCCGGCCTGCGCCCCGCGGTGCATTTTGGGAAATGAGGCGGTTGACGGGCAGCCCGTGTGTCCAATAGCGTTTCCCGTATCCCCGTCAGGTGACCCGATTCTAGCCACTAGGACATGAGGAAAGAGCGGCTGCAGGAAAGTTCTTTGCTGTTCTTGGAAGGAATTGGGTGGGCGGCCATGGCGGCCTGGCAGACGTGAGGGAGGAAGGAGGTGCCGGACAGGGGTGGGGAGACTTGTTGCCACGTGGACGGAGAGAGGGGAGGGGGTCTGGACTTCGGGGTCTCCGGAAACCGAGAGGAGAAGTGTGTGGGTGGGGGGAGGCAGCAGTAGCGGCCAGGACAGGGACACCATGGCGGCTGGCCTTGGTCCCCGTCTCCCCGTCTTCCCGACTCCCCGACTCCCCGTCTCCCCGTCTCCCCGTCTCCCCGTCTCTCCGACTCCCCGATCCGTGCTCAGCGGCCTGGGCTCAAAGTGGTTGCTGAGGCCTGGGTGTCGGGGCCGGCTTCATGTTGGGGGCCATGCCGGGTGACGGCGGCCAGGCTGGGCGCCCTGGCTACTTTTCATAATGACTGGGGTGGCCAGCGAGCAGCCGGCCCGGTGGAGGGCTACACCCGTGGGCACGTGGAGGGTGACGGGGCTGGCTGGGGCTCAAAGACGCTGACCTTGAAGTGAAATCACAGCGTGGGTGGGAATCGATGAAACCCCACAGAAGGCAGAATTGAGAAGCGTGAAAATGGCCGAGGACAGATGTTGAGAACCCCACGTTTAAATCATAAATAGAGGAAGTCCCATCCCTAAAAGGTGTTGGAAGGCTCTCTCACAAAAGGAGTGGGCATTTCGGTTTGACCCTCAGCTTAATCTTGCTTTTCCGCTATGGAACACCCTTAGGGTGGCAGGTGATGGCTCAATTCTCGGGTCCCTGCCTGCCATTTGGGAGACCCTGAAGGAGTTCCAGGACCCCTGGCTTTGCCTGGATATCATAAACACGTGGGAGGTGAAGCAGCAGAGGGAACAACTTGCTATCTCACTGGCTTCGCTGTAGTCCAAGGCAGAAACAGAAGGATCTAGAGAAAGTGGGAAGCACAGAGGACCCCCGAGTGGTGGTCGGGCAGGTGCTGACCAGAGGACAGTGTAAGGAACCTTTGGGAACCGCGGTGCGTGGAAACATTCACCATCTCAGGCCCAGGGTGTGAGAAATGCTTACGCCTGCTGTGATGTGTGTGTGTGCGGGGAGCACAGGAGTGCACGGGGAGGGGGACAGAGTGAGTTTTACTGGGCAAACTGGGTTCTGCAGGTGGGTGTCGCAGGCAGCACAAATGCCCTCGATGCCACTCCTGTGCGCTTAAAGGATGGAGCTGAGATGCCAGCTTTCCTGTGGTGTGTGTATGAGGGTCCTTTAACAGTTTGTGGAAGGCAGAATCAAGGTTACATGGGGGCAGACAAGTTTCTTCTAAACCAGGCATTGCTTTTCCTAAGGTAGATTTTTCACGGTTTATTTTCTCATGTATTTCACCACTTAAAAAAAAAAAAGACCACTTATTTGAAAGAACTGCACAGAATGAGAAGCAAAGAGCTCTCGCATCTGTTGGTTCATTCCCCAGAGAGCTGCAGTGGCCACGGTGGGGCCAGGCTGAAGCCAGGAGTTGGGAGTTGCATGCAAGTCTCCCACATGGGTGCCAGGACCCAAACTCTTGTGCTGCCTTTCCCACATCATGAGCAGGGAGGTGGATCTTAAGGGGAACTGCTGGCAGGGCAACTGGTACCCATGTGGGATCCCTGCCTCCGGGTAGGGCTTTAGGTACTATATGCCCACCCCGCTCCCACAATTCTTAATTTTTTCTCAAATGGGCATTTGGCAGGGTGGTCTAGCAGGGCAGCACATATGTAGCTGTGTTACCCACTCTCACAGCCATGATGTTGTGCACGGATGTGTCACACGTGGGAGAGACTGGTATATCTATCACATGGGAGGCGAGCCCAAGGGTGCTGGCATGGATTCTGGCTCCATCCTTGCCTCTCTGGGCATACAGCATCCCCACTCTGCCCCGTCCCAGACTCTGGGATCCTTCAAAGCCCTGAGGTCAAGGGGAGGTGGTGGTGGCGGCGGGGGAGAGGTTGGGCTGAGTGACCTTCGCACGGTGTGGGGGTCCCTAGCCTCCCTGCCCTCCAGCACCACCCATGGTGGTGGAAAGAGTCAGTGTCCTGGGGACTTTAGGCTCAGAACCGCTGGGAAGAGCCCCTCCGGGTTGCCACATGCTCCCGCTGGAAAGGCCAGGCTGGGAGGTTAGGGAACTCCCCTTCACCCCAAGACAGCAGGCAGCCAAGCTCCTCCCCTGCCATCCCCCCAGCACCTGCTTGCTTGATGTCCTTCCCCCTGGCCCCAGTCCACGGTCTGCCCTCTCTGGCCCTGGGAAGGCCTCAGGCTGCCAAGGGGCCCCCAGCTGGGAGTTCCAGCAGCCTAGGCCATTCCTGGGGTTGCTTCAGTGTCACCCACTCCCTGGGCATACCTGGGCTTTAACCCTAAGCCAAGGTCTGGCAGGGCCCTTCCCTCGTGTCCTCACCTATGGGAAGCTTCTTGATGCTGTAGAGGCCCACCTCAGAGGCAGAAAGAATAACAGCAAGGCTTCCCTCAGCTGTCTCTCAGGTTAGCAGGGAAACATCAGGGTGCTGGTGCACCCCCACATTGAGGTGCACCCCCACATTGAGGTGCACCCAGAAGGCTGGGTACACCCATGGTGTCACACCCACAGCACATATGGGGCACACTGTTCCAAACCAGAATCCCTGGAGAAGTGTCCCAGCTTCTCTGCACATTTTCCTGCCGCTTGCCTTGAACTTGACAGGGATTGGGGCCAGTGCAAGGAATGAACCCTGCGGGGCAGCTTGAACATGCTAGGAGGCCACACTACCACAAATGGCCACTAGAGGGCAGTGGCACAGTGGGTCACCGCGGTGCGATGTGATTTTGCAAAGCCAGGTGGAAATGTGTAGGGTGGGGGTTGGGGGTGGGCCAAGTGCTGAGGCCTTGGGAGCACCAGACCCTGGATGCTGCAGAGGTTCCGAGTACATGGAGCTGGCCTGAGCTCAGCCTTCGAGCCAAATGGATGCTGACGGTAACCATGGCTGGGGCTACCCTTGGCTACCTCCTGTCTGTTCACCTGGCCTTTCCTGTCTGTTCTGCTGACTTGATAATTCGGGAGGAAGTGCCATTTTCAGAGACAGCCCCTGGGGTGCCATGAAGGTGTCTGGCTTGGCACCTGTTGGGTGACTTACCCAAGAAAGTACAGAGAGCCATGTCATGCTTGGCAATGCAGCTATAGCGAAGGCGACCCCTAGAACACCTGCCACCCTCACCTTTAGCTTAGAGCGGCCACACAGTCTGAACCATTCAGATATGTGGGAGGGAAATGTTGCTTAGCATGGGCTCTTGAGGTCTTACCAGCCTTTATAAGTGTGTGTGTCAGGGCCATGGGGTATGTACGAGTCACTTCCACGTCACCCCAGGCCCTGCCCTGCTCAGATCTGGGCTTCTGGTGGATAATGCGTGGTTTGTGGCAACGGTGTGGCTGAGGAGTGAGCATCGACCCTGTAAGCTGGGCAGGGAGGTGTTAAGGCTCATTCCTTCAGTGTGGTCTTCCCTATAAGGGGAAGGGGGAGCTGGCCAGTCCTGGCAGGATCCCTGCCTAACATCTCTCCTCTTTGCTGCCGACACTGCTGCCTCCACCACCCCTTGAAGCAGGGGCTGCCTGGGGGCACCCAGGACTCGACCCAGGATTCGGGAGCCTGCACTGCTGGCCGCCCCTCCCCACCCCCAGCAGTCAGCACCTACCCTTCTCTTTGGTAATCTTCATCCAGGTTTGACAGGAGCTGCGAGCCGGCCGTGGAGAGGTCGATGGCAGCCAGGGGCAGGTCCCGATCGGCCAGGTTCACCAAGTGCACGGGTGCGATGCTCTTGGTCTCCTCATCGACTTGCTGGGAGATGATCTCAACCTCGGAGATTCCTCCTCCTAGGGCAGGCCTGGGGGGGAGGGGGAGAGGCACAGGGCGGAATCACCTCCCAGGCCCAAGGTGGCGGTTCCCTAGGTGCTGGAGGAGGGGAATGTGGCCGGGGAGAGGGCAGGGACTGTGCCTGGCCTTGTCCTTCACGGGCTGAGGAGTGGCAGTGGGAGAAGCCAGAAAGGGCAGTCGCCCAGATCTGAATGTAGGAGTTTCCGGGGCAGGTGCCTGGGGGAGAGCAAGACGCAGAAGGGAGCTGCCAGCCGACAGAGCCCTGCAGATAGCACCCAGGCTCTGTGGCACCACCCATGTCCTGGACTGGCCACTCTTTTTAACACTGTCACCTTGGGTTCTTTATAAAGGGCCGGGAGTGTTCCCACACCTAGCCTCCCTGTGTGTTGGCGCAGTCAGGTCCTGCTGGGGTCCCTGGACAACACTCCCTTCTCACTTGAACCTGATCCACAGAGGGAAACGGGGAGCTTCCTCTGGGTGGCTGTTGGGCTTGCACGGAGCTTTGCCGATAAACAGTGCCCAAGCTGGCACCACACCGTGAGGTATCCCAGCCAGGGGCAGTGCCACCTCTCAACCTGCTACAGGAAAGCTGGCAATTTGGGGGACAACAGTTGCAAAGATAGTCACAAACGTGAGGCAGGCAGTCACTGTTGGCCGCTAAGGAAGGCTGGGAACACTAAGTATGGGCTCGCCCGCTGCCCCACCAAATACCCGTGCACCAGGGTCACTCTGCCTTCACTTCCCAGGGAGTGAGCTGTGGCAGTGGAGGGGTTGGGAGCCGGGCCTGGTGCTTCTGGCCCAACAAGGAGACATTCAAAAGGGAATTAGCATGGCAGGGGATTGTGACAAAGTGGATGGTGAGGAGACAGAGGACTTGTTTGTTTGTTTTGCTTCTTTTTTCTGAATCTGTATTGAAAAGGCACAGAGGCAGAAAGAGTGACTGGTGATCAAGATAGATCTGTGGTATTTTGAGTTCTGTCACCGGGCAGGTGCAACAGCCAGGGCTGGGGTAGGCCAAAGCCAGGAGCTCGCAGTTCAGTTCGAGTTGCCCACATGGGTGACCAGGACCCAAGGGTTTGAGCCTTCACCTCCAACGACAGACATTTTGGATTGGAAGTGGAGTAGCTGGGACCCAAACTATACAAATATATTTGTATATATTTACGTATTTTATATTTGAGAAGTACAGAGACAGTACAGAGACATGGAGAGACAGAGAGGTAAAGTTCCCATGTACTGGCTTACTCCCTAAATGTATACAGCAGCCAGGGCTGAGTCCCAGCGAAGCCAGGAGCTAGGGACTCCCCCTGGGTTTCCCCTGTGGGTGCCAGGAACCTGGCTGCCTGCCAGGGTGGGCATTAGCAGGAACACTGGGATCAGGAACCCAAAGCAGCTACTGGGTCCAGGTCCTTCCCTGTGTACAGCTTACACACCTGTTCATCTGGTTGTGAGGTTTGTGTTCGAAGGGTTGCCTGCCTAAGGACATGGGTGAGGAGCCTTCACAAAGTCCATGTTGGGTGGAGAGGGGAATGGAATTAAAAGAGATGTTTTGTTTGGAATCTGTGAATCATTTTTTTCATAATAGGTATTTCATTCAACCTACCTTTAATATACCTAGATTTCAAAGCTTATCACACCCACATGAACATCTCTGAAATCTATTTTCCAGGGAACTTGGCAGTTCCTCTGGTAGCTGCCTACATCAGAAGGACATTACTCAAGGCCATTCTGTTCTCTGAGGATGGGACCTGGGGGTACTCACTGTGGGTGGGTCATGTTGAAGGTGCCGACTAGAGCCATGGGTCTTCTGGGTGTCTAGTGGGGCTCAGCTGTGCCCAAGTGTGCCATCAGCATGTCCAAGCTTGGGTTCCATAAGAAGCACAGAGACACAGCCATGCGTGTAGAGCACCCTGCAGACAGAAACAGGCCTTTGGTTAGCTTCTGGGGCTCATCTGAAAATGCAGGTTCTTGCAACTTCCTTCCCTGGAGCTCTCCATGCAACGTCTGATCCAGTCCTGCTATTACCCTACCAAGGGCCAACAAGGGGGCATCCCTCCTTGTTAGGGATTAGGGGAACAAGTGACTCCTCTGTATGACACAGAGATGGGGGACAGTCAAGTTGGACTTAGGTTTCCTGACTTCTCGCCCACCGAAGTCCTTTCCACCAAACCTCTATGCACCACTCCACCCTCTGCCCCCCCCCACCCTGCCTGTACCAACCCAGCATCAAAAGCATTGTAGAAAATGGCAGAAGCAGCTACGCTTGGACAGCATTAGCCTAGAGCTTCATATGACAGTTTAGGGTGTCTGTATCACCCCCCCATCAGGGGTCCTGGATTCAGTTCTTGCTCCCAGCCCTGTACCCCAGCTTCCTGCCCTGGGAGGCAGCTGGTGATAGTTCAGGTACTGGGACCCCTACCCCCTGTGGGGCAGACCCGGATGGAGTTACAGCTTCCAAGTGTTAGCCTCAATCCCAGCCACTGTGGCCACCAGGCAGTGAACCGACTGATGGCGATTCTTTCATCCACTTTTCTCTCACTGGTGATCTAATTACTTTAAATAATTTTTAAAAATCCATGCATAGTTATTTCACAATATGTATTTTCTACAAAGTTTTTGAAGATCTTTGTGTGCAAATGTGGATCATAAAGGAACTAGCCAATGGGCAATACATGTCTGACACTAAGTGCCTGGTACCAAGTAAACGTTGAATTTTATTTTATTTTGTCAGCTTGTGTAATCTGTTGAATCTGAGTATATGCCAAAGCATTTGAATGTCATATGATTTCCTTAAAAAAAGATTTGGACTAGACAGTTAGGATGCTTTTTTTTTTTTCTCTATCCACCAATGCTCTAGAATCACCTAGAAATATTGGAGTCAGAATAATCTGAAAGTTCTGGAGACAGAACTTGTCTAAAAGAATGCGGACAAAAACACGGACCTGGCTGCGGGTGAAGTGGAACAGGTGATCCGGGAGGGGACTCAAAGGGGCGTTCCTTTGTGGGACCTGCCAAGGAACCTGCCAAGGAACCTGCCTTGTGCGCCCAGCGCATCTCCCACTCGGCTCTCCTTAGCCTCTCAGCCTCCGCCGCAGCCGCAGATGAACTAGTGAGAGCCTGAGGGGGCTGTGGCCTCACGGGCAAGGGAAGCTCGCTGTGAGATGACCTGGCGAGGCGGGTCCATGAGCCAAGGGAGAAAGCCCCTTCAAGAGAGAGTGAGCTCAAGCTTAAGGCTCTTGAAGAAGTTCCAGGCAAATCTGAACTCGGAAGAGCTGGAAAAGAGGAGATGGAGAGAACTCAGAAGAGCTGGGTGGGTATTGTCTTATGGCAGGTGGAATGCCCACAGTGCTGGCATCCCATGTGCGTGCCAGTTCAAGTCCGGGCTGCTCCACTTCCAGTGCAGCCAGCTCCTTGTTAATGGCCTGGGAAAGCAGCAGAAGATGGTCCAATGCTTGCACTCCTGCGCCCACATGGGAGACCTGGAAGAAGCTCTTGGTTCCTGGCTGCAACCTTGCCCAGTGCTGGCTATTGTGACCATCTGGGAACTGAGCTAGTGGATGAAAAATCTAATTCTGAATTTCAAATAAACTTTTACAAATGCAATAAAATGAGAAGGGCCTCAAGAGGGAGTCACCAAGTTTTTCCAGAATGGATTTTTGTAGCAGGAGAAAAAAGCACAGGGCACAGGCCAGGGTCAATACCACAGGGTCTTTGGACAGATGTTTTCTCCTGCCACCTCTTTGCCTTTTCCTGTCCATCAGATTTTCTCATTTTTTTTTATAAAAGATTTATTTATTTATTGGCAAGGCAGATTTACAGAGGGAAGGAGAGACAGAGAAAAAGATCTTCTATCCACTGGTTCACTCCCCAAATGGCCACAATGGCCAGAGTGAGCCAATTTGAAGCCAGGAGCTAGGAGCCTCTTCTGGCTCTCCCATGTGGGTGCAGGTCCCAAGGCTTTGGGCCGTCTTCGACTGCTTTCCCAGGCCACAAGCAGGGAGCTGGATGGGAAGTGGAGGAGCTGGGACATGTACTGGTGTCCATATGGGGTCCTGGCACTTGCAAGGCAAAGAATTAGCCAGTCAGGCCATTGCATGGCGCCTCACCGGTTCCTAGCTCTAGAGAAGCATCCATGCATTCACTTGGGTGTTACAGAATGATGACATTGTAATGTTCTTGCTTCTTACTCATTAATCAGCTTCTGTGAAGACAAATGTTCCCTCCCCAAGGATTTAATTAGCCTAGGTACGCCTTTATATAAGAAGGAAGTGGAAATGTTCAACTCCCCTCTTTCCTTACTCATTTTGTGATGTAACGAGGTGCTATCCTGTTATCTTCCAACGGGATGAGAAGTTTGTTGTGGTTTTAAAAGATGTACTTATTTACTTGAAAGGCAGAGATACAGGCAGAGAGGGACAGATAGATCTTCCGTGCCTTGGGCTCCTTCCCCAGATGGCTACCATGGCCAGGGCTGGGTCAGGCCAAGGCCAGGAGCTTCATCTGGGCCTCACACGTGTGTGGTGGGGGCCTAGGTTCTTGGGGCATCCTCTGCTGCTCTCCCAGGCCTGTTCATAGGGGAGCCAGATCAGAAATGGAGCAGCCTGGACTTGAACCAGCACTCATATGGGATGCCACCATCGCAGGGAGCAGCTTTACCTGCTATGCCACAATGCTGGGCCCAGGAGTTTGTTGTTTTACAAGTGTCATGGACTGGGTGCAGAGCAGACTCCCGGAAAGGAGAAGCAGGCGTGAGTGCGGGAAGCGTGTTCAGCAGGATGTGCGAAGAGGAGATGGAATCTTATTCCAAGGTGCCGTGAGCAGTCTGAGCTGCGGGTTCTGACGTGTGACAAGCTGCACATTTGCAAAGGCAAACATGCCTAAAGGCGATAGAAATGCAAAGCCTGGCCACTTGGGGGTGTGTGTGTGTGTGTAACAATTTTATTGAAATGAATGCAGGGAAATTCATACAAAATGTGCATTATGAAAAACTCTGCCAGTATTTTTAAGCTTTTCACTAAAAATTCAAGCTTGGGGGGGTTGTTTTTCATCTAGTTAGCTTTTTTTGCTATTATTATTTTGATTTTTGATGATCTTTACATACTTGATTAGAGTGCCAAGGTCAAGAGCTTGAGGTAATGGGTAAGAACGTGTTTCCACATTCTCTTTTTTCCTTTCTGTATCTGGGGGGAAAGGGGAGATAAAGGGAGAAGCCCCACCCAGCCTCCCAACCGCCCTGGGTCCCAATGTGGGGCGTGCTTTGGGGGTCCTGCTTAAGAGGTTTCAACAGTTCAACAGTTCTGAATTCCTGCCGATCTCGGCACTCCAAGCACGATGAATAAATGTGTTCTGTCCTCCGTGCTCTGTTCTGGTACCAGGTGTCCTCTGCAGGCCTCAGTGTGCTGCCACGTCCTCCACGTGCCTCGGGATATACCGTCCACTGCTCCGTCTGAGCCACTGAGCAGGCCCAGCTCTGACACATGCACTCCAAGGTCAGACCATGGAACCTGCACTTCTCTTTATGGTTGGGGTTCTCTCAGTCCAGTGGTCCAGTTGAGACATCCCCAAAGAAACCTCGTCTGAGGTATGACTGACAAATATAAACCGTATACCCCGGGGGATTGATGTGACATCCGGAGGGGGTATACCTTGTGAAGTAATCATGACAGTCAAGCTAGTTGATCCATAACCTGACGCAACTGTTTTTCTTGGGTGCTGGTGATGCCGGAACCTACTCTTACCTTGCAAATTTCAGTCAAACAGAACAGCTTTCTTAACCTCCCTTAGTCACCAGGTTGTGCATGCCCTGGTACTTGTTCAGCTGTTTATTTTTTTTTAAAGACGGGATTACTTACCTATTTGAAAGGGCTACAGAGAGATCGATCGATTGATCGTTCGATCCTGTGCTGGTTGGCTCAGATGGCCATAGCAGCCATAGCCGGGGGCCGGGGGTTCCCTCTGCGTCTCTCACATGGTTGCAAGGGTCCAGGTACTTGGGCCATGCTCCGTTGCCTTTCCATACACATCAGCAGGCAGCTGGATTGGAAACGAGGCAGCTGGGCCATGAACTGGTGCCCACATGGGGTCCTGGTGTCACAGGTGGCTCCATGACCTGCTGTGCCATGACTCAGCCTTATTATCTGTTGCTGTGAGTTCAGCCGTTTTTTAGATTCCATGTGTATCATGGGATCATGGGCCCGGCTTATTTCACTTAACACAGTATTGCCAAGGTTTATGAGTCGTGTTGCGGGTGGCAGAATTTCCTCCTTTTTTACTTGTTTATTTATATTGGAAAGGTAGGTTTTACGGAGAGAAAGATCTTCCATCCACTGGTTAACTCCCCATGTGGCCACAATGGCTAGAGCTGAGCCAATCCAAAGTCGGGAGCCAGGAGCTTCTTCTGGGTCTCCCATGTGGGCTGTCCTCGCCTGCTTTCCCAGGCCACAAACAGGGAGCTAGATAGGAAGTGGAACAGCTGGGACATGAATCGGCACCCAATGGGATCCTGGCACATGCAAGGTGAAGATTTAGCCACTGAGCCATTGCGCTGGGCCCAGGATTTCCTTTACCTTAAATGGCAAGTGATAAGGGTATATAGAGGCAGGAATGTCTTTTTTTTTTTAATAAAACATGATTGGTCCTGGTGCGATAGCCTAATAGCTAAAGTCCTCACCTTCCACATGCTGGGATCCCATATGGGCTCTGGTTATATAATCCTAGCAGCCCCGCTTCCCATCCAGCTCCCTGCCTGTGGCTTGGGAAAGCAGTCGAGGACGGCCCAAAGCCTTGGGACCCTGCACCCA